AGCGGGCAAGACTCTAGCTCTCGTTGGTCCAAGCGGGTGCGGGAAAAGCTCGGTTATCTCCCTAATCCAGAGATTCTACGAACCGTCCTCAGGCCGAGTCATGATCGACGGGAAGGACATAAGGAAGTACAATCTCAAATCCATAAGGAAACACATAGCCATAGTCCCTCAAGAGCCGTGCTTGTTCGGTACCACAATCTACGAAAACATCGCGTACGGACACGAATGCGCAACGGAAGCAGAGATCATACAAGCCGCGACTCTAGCCAGCGCCCACAAGTTCATATCGGCATTGCCCGATGGCTACAAGACGTATGTCGGAGAGAGAGGCGTTCAGCTCTCGGGAGGACAGAAACAGAGGATCGCTATCGCGCGTGCCCTCGTGAGGAAAGCAGAGATCATGCTGCTCGACGAGGCCACGAGCGCTCTTGATGCAGAGTCCGAGAGGTCGGTGCAAGAAGCATTGGACCAGGCTTGCTCTGGAAGAACGTCGATCGTCGTGGCTCATAGGCTTTCCACGATCAGGAACGCGCACGTGATCGCTGTGATCGATGACGGGAAAGTCGCGGAGCAAGGATCGCATTCGCATCTTCTCAAGAACCATCCTGATGGAATCTACGCGAGGATGATACAGTTGCAGAGATTTACGCATACTCAGGTGATTGGTATGACGTCGGGTTCGAGTTCTAGGGTTAAGGAAGATGATGCTTAGTACTTACTACTTTTGTGGTCATATTCATATAGAAGAAAAAAAGAACAGAGTCAAAAAAAAAAACAACAGAGGATGTTCTGAACAAAAGAAACTCTACGAACTTCATTTTTCTGTTTTAATTTTGGGGTTACTTATTTTTGGAACTACGTTTCAGATTTGATGGTATAGTATTAATATTGTGTATTATTATCATTAATCTAATTTTTCATCTCTGTAATATCCATTTATGCCTTGTCAATCCATGAGCCTTTTCTAATGAAAGGTGATGATAAACTCGACATTGCATAGCTCCAATGAATTTTTTTTTTTATAATACTTGAAGAAAATAGTGAGGTCATAGTGCACTCGTTAGTGTATACTATATTCGTTTGGTTTGTTCTAAATTTTAGGATAAGCCTAACTTTGGAATCATGAGATCCCAAAAAAACACATTATGATAAATGATGAAATGTAACTTTTAAGGTTTTTAATTGTATTGGTTATATGGTTTTGAATGTTGTGGGTCAAGAACACTATATTAAAATGAGGTAAAATCCCCTTGTGTGTAAATCATGGGTATTCTATTCGATCATGATTAGAAATGAAAACATACATACATAAAGTCATATATAAATATTAGAATTTGTGGGCAATATTTGTCAAAAGGGATGCTTAAATATATAGACACACGAACATACGTGGGGAACCAAATTATGAAGATGAGAAGACAGAAAATGAGAATAAAGAAGATGGGTCCAAAAAGGACATTAGATGAGATAATGAGAGACCCAAAGCAAAAAGAAAAAGAGAAAGAAAAAGACAACATTTCTTTTGTGTTTATATGACTTATGAACAATTCTTGATTTCGTTTCTTTGTGCAGCACACGCGTGCGACCATACATGCATATACGTATATAGGACACACGCCATGATGATGATGACGACTAGTTTGTTTTAGTTGTTGAATGCAATAAATTTGTTTATGAACAAACTTGGAAAATTATATAGTGGATGAGAAGAAGCAGCACATGTCATACTCATTGTTGAAATTTTCAAGGAAGACCAAATAGTTCAACATAACTTAGTATTAGGAAATGCGAATTTTGGATATTAAGAACGAGTAATAACAGTAAGAATCAAATACGGTTAGTTTGAATACTTACTATTCAGATAAGATGTGAAGAATGGATCATTTATGCAGCTAGGATCACTTTTGAAATTTCTAATGAGGAAAATGTCATGTTTGTGTTTGGAGATAATGAGTACTTTTCAAAATTTTAGTTAACTAAACGGAAAATTCAGATACCCATATTCATACTTGACTCATTTGTATCCACTGGGGTATATTACACTGACCCAAACATATAATAACTATTACTGTAACGTTTGTAAGATTTATACGAATACGATTGTAAAGTTTATTTGGTTTTGTATGATTGTTAGGTTATATATGCTTTTATCAAATCACTAGGTATATACCCATAGCGAGATATATTTATAAATTTTGTATATATTTTTAATATAATAAAAAAAAAATTATAATGTAAATGAGTATTATATTTTTTTATTAGTTTAAGTTATGTATTTATATATTTTAAATCTAAATAAACATTATATATATTTAATTTTTTTTATTTTTCAAAATTATATCCTACTATCAAATTTGTTTAGATAACTATCTATAAATGTATATGTAAGAATAAAAAAAATACATTTTTAAATACCTTTATGCAAATGACAAATGTAATTTGTTATCTCTACTAAATTGCCACTTGATCCTCCTTTGAAATTATATAAAGCAAATTGCCATTTTAAAAAAAAAAACTCAGAAATCGCACTTTCCGACGAAACAAAAAAATTTAATTTCACATATTCCCGCCAAAACCAAAATCATTTATTTTCTCATTAAACCTGAAATTTCATTTTCACACTAAAACAGAGAAATTATATTTTTCCGCAAAAACCAAAAAATCACATTTTTTTGCGAGAACCAATGTTTTCCCGTCAAAACAGAGAAATCAAGTTTTTTCACCAAGACCAAAAAAATTATTTTTCTACAAAAACCGAAAAATCGTCAATTCCCGCAAAAAAAAAAAAAAATCATCAAACTAAAACTCAGGCATTCCTACCAAAACTGATAAACTATAATTTCCCGCGAAAACCAAAAATTGCATTATCTCCTGAGAAATTGTGTTTTCTGTGAAAACTAAGAAATCGTATTTTACCGCGAAAACCAAAAAATCATATTATATGTCAAAAACTGAAAATTTGCATTTCCCATCAAAACCGAAAAATTGCTTATTCTTTCCAAAATCGAGAAATTTTGTTTTCCCATCAAACTGAGAAATCACATTTTTCTGCAAAAATCAAGAAATCACATTATCTATTCAAAAGCCGAAAATTTGCATTTCTTATCAAAACTAAGAAATCGTATTTTTTGTCAATTGAAAAATTGTATTTCCCTCGCCTTTTCTCGTTAAAACTAAAATATTTTGTTTTCGCGTCAAAACTATTTTTTTATTTTCTCACCAAAACCAAAAATTCACATTTTTCCACCAAACACGATAATTCATTCTTTCCGCCATAACCAAAAAATTATGTTTTCCTAGCAAAACTAAAAATTACATTTTCTTACCGAAACCAAGGAATTCCCTATTCCTACAAAACCCATGAAAAATTGTTCTGAGTATCCACTGAAAATGCGAGTCTCTAAGTTATGGTGGTCTGAACTTCTCCTCATTTGCTTTTGACTTCTATTTTTTTGTAAACTTTTGGGCTTTTTAATGGATCTGCGAAATAGTAAACTGATTTTATTAGTGTGTTAATGATATATATTATTGTTATGTTTTTATTGGTTCAATTTTTTGCTGATGTGTGAGCTTCTTATAACATAAGGCTTTTTGTGTTGTTGTTATAGAAACATAGTTGATGATAAGCCTACACTTTTTCAATCATATACGTCTCTGTCGAACAAACAAATAGCTAAAAAAAATTATTTATTTGCTTTTAATTATTATTTGGGTTAGGGTTTGGCAAAAAACTAAACGAAGATTTATTTGTTTTATTTATTAATTTGTTTTATTTGCTGTTTTTATTATTTCTGCTTGGATTTGGCAAACAATAAAACAAATATTTTTTTATTTGCTGTTATTTATTATTTGGGTTTTGATTTGTTAAAAAATAAAACAAATTATTAACAAAAAATGTATTTGGGTTTTTAATTGGTTTAAATTTAAAAATTAAAATAAATAGATGAGTTGTATTAATGTTTTAATTTGATTGGTTTGTAAAATAGCCGAGGTATCAGCTTCTCAATGATTAAAAAATCTGATGTGTCAATCTATAGAGAGACTTGAGTGTTATTGTTGTATTGATTCCAAGATATATTGATCAAAGAAATGATTTGTATTATTGGTCATATTGTGACAATCTTATGATAATACATATACATAAACATAGGCATGTCTTGAGTACTGTCGATACAAAATCTTTGCAAATAGAAGAAGCTAGTCGTCACTCGTCACGTATCATTTAGTCAGTTGAGTTTCAATTTTCCATCTCACCATATGGCTTTTTCATCTTTTATGATTCTCGTCAGACCTTCCTGCATTTACATGCAAAATCAAGATGATAAATTCAAAACGCAAATTAACAAAATTTATTCATCAAGTTACTCATTCGAGCTTTTTTTTACTTCACAATCCTAACCATATTGATGATTGATGAAGAGACATATTTACCCCCTTTTTACTCATCTTCTTTCTTTGAATGCTACAAGTTTTCGTGGAGTGGTTCCCCTTTAGTTGCCAGAGCAATAGCTCCTCTCTGTATGTCAACAAATTCCTCTTCGCGTTCAATGAACAGTTTTTTTATAAAAAAACAGTTATTGAAAGGATTGTGAAGTAAAAAAGAGCTCGAATGTAATTGTTTAATTCAAAGCAACACTAACATGTATGGTGGCAGAAAAACCGATATACTTGCTCAAAATGAACCACCTTAAATGAGTTTGTATTATTTTTTATCTTCACCAAAGCTTCAAGATCAACTCCACTAAAATTCTCAAAACACTTCACACTTTTGAGGGTAAGCGAGCAGATGCAATGTCATTAGTAGGTAAGATGGAAAAGTAAAAAGATAAGAGGTTTCTAGATCTTTCAAATTAAGGTTAAAGAGTAACAAATATTCAAGGTTTGCATATGTTCAAGAGGCGATAACAAGAATGGAAATGCGACATGGTATCTATGCATCTGATCCCATATGGGTAAAAATCTAATTAGCCGTAATGACAATAGTTGTAGCAGAAACATGAGTAATCAAGTAACTTGGTTTGGTTACTTATGTTTGTAGACTTGACATACTGGTAAGTTCTTTCGTACCAAAGACGTAGGTTTAGAAGTCAAATATGGGTATAATTATAAGTGTCATGCTATTTTGAAAATAGTTAGTTTTCAAAAACATTAACATAAAAAGGGTATTTTTACAATAAAAAAAATCCCAAAGATCAAAAAAAACTTGCAAAAACTCAAGCAGACATCAGCTTCGGACCATTGTCCGGCATTCCCATTCCACCGGCTAAATCTGCATCGAGTTGTGAGTGTGGAGCCGGTCCCTTCATTATCTTCACACTGCAATCACACAAAACCCAAAACAGAGAGAACAAAAAAAACATCAGAGTCCAATACAAAATAACCAACACTACTCATTAGGCAACCTTCTACACATGCGTAGAGCAACTATATAACCAATGGAGGGTACTGAGACAGCGATTGCTAAAACTTTTTTTTAGCTTGAACATCGCAAGCAGTAGAGATACAATGTCAATGTACTCAAACTCAATCCGTTTCGATAACTACTATTAATACTAAGAAGGATTCAGTAGTTCCTGCAAACAAGAGGTAAGCAAGAAGAAGAAGAATCTACTTACCGTTTCTTGTGCTTCTTTGTCTTGAAATGGTCATCACGCACGGACGTATTGGAGAAGTACCGACTGAAACATACAAAAGTTAAGAGATCAGGGACACAAGACTGAATCAGAGAAACACTCAAGGTGATGAAAACAAACAAATGATCAATCTGGAAACATAACCAAAAACATATATATAGAGGTCCAAACATGTAAATCTTACTCGCAGTGCAAGCAGTAGAATTGGCCCATTCCAGGCAAATCCTCGTCAAGCTGCAAAGGCTTTACCTCCGCCTCTGGTTTCCGCAACTCAGTGTAAACCAAATCGTCGCGTGGAAGGCAAAAATCTCGGTCAAGGGAAACAAAAATCCCCAAATTGCAATCAACCATTAATATTTCATCAAACCCACAAAAAAAAAAAAATCAAAACTTTGAAAATCAGTAGAACATTGCAAAAAGGATATCTTTAACTTCGAATTTGTCCCGGCGAGCTGTTTTGTGAGACAGACGCCTCTTCTTCACTTTTCTAGTCGGGCATCTACCCATTTTATACTCCCTAAGTGCTCTGTGAGTTTGCAGAAGCAGAGGAATCGAATCATCAATATGCGAAATTGTAAGAATCTACACGAATTTGAACATCAGAAAAAAACTTACGATTTAGAAAAGAAACCACCCGAGGAAGAAGGAGCTGGAGACGACGATGCGGAAGAGAAACCCTAAAGAAATCTCACTTTCAGTATAAATTAACCTAATTTGGCGGTTTGAATGAAACCTCTGAGAGTGGCGCGAGGCCCATCTTAGCATAAAGGCTTTTACATAGCCGGCTAGGCCCATAAGTTTTTAACCTGGCCTATTTACAATTGTGGGCAGAAAAGAAGACGGGTCAAAATTTAAGACCAAAATCTTAAATTACGGCGGCGTAAAATCTAATTGGTGCCAAATTTGGCTCCTGGTGCTAGGCTCGAAAATCTTAAATTACGGCGGCGTAAAATCTAATTGGTGCCAAATTTGGCTCTTAGTGCTAGGCTTAGGAATTGTATGAGATACAGAAAAGCTACTGAAAACATAAAACACTAACATCGAATAGTTTCAATATACAAACAAAAACGTATACGCTTTGATGTTTCTGATCATTTTGTTCGTTTTCTTTAACTAGGAAATTTTTAGATAATGGAAAAGAAAGTTCTCAATCAAACTTTACTATATATCTCATGTGAGAATAATATGTGTCCACCTCAGGGATTACGTCATGTAAAGGATCATAAGATTAAAAATTCAACAAAACATAAACATGGTGTTGACAAAATGGACCGTTTTACAAACTAAAGACAGACGTAACGCAGTTACGCAACTTTTTTTATACAGTTCACATTTTTTCACTTTTCTTATTTTATTTATTGTTACTGTTTATTCAGTTGAAAATTTAGAAAAAGACGAACAATTTTCACTCACCGAACTGTCAATTAGTTAATTAATCTGCAAAAGAAAAATAAAAGTCAGTAAAAGTTATTGGCAGTTCGTCATGGCTCTGTATATTACGCAGCCCATGTGTTTATTTTTAGTTAGGCAGTTCTTCGCTGCTTCCATGGAGCCAAAATTAAAAATTATATCTATTATTGCATTTGCATGCTCTGCAAAGGACGAAACTTATTTTTGTTTTAATACAAATGTAGATAAGAGATTAGTTATATAATTATATATTAGTGCTGTAGGAGTTGAGTAAAGTAGTGTATACGTATTGGTTAGGTGAAACGAATACTATATATTACAACAGAACGTGGAAAAGTACATTCTTAATACTCGAAATATCTAAACTTTTATTTGAAATGTGCATTTTTTAAAGTTACTAACTAATATATGCACGTTACACACACATATCTAGAATTCTTCGTGTACTAGTGCCAAATATATAAATAAGTCACAGTACTTGACAAATTAAAACCATGTGCGATTGTTTGTTTTTGTATTTTAAAATCTAGATCTCCGTTGATGTGAGTTAATAGGATTAATTAACATTTTACCACCAAGTATTATGGACAACGGTAGCATAAAATATCAAATGAAATAAGTCAAAGATAAGGAGCAAATTTAAGTATGTAAGACCATCATTCCGGATTTCGTATTAGCTATTATAGATGTTTTAACTCTCAAGTGGTAAAACTATATAATTCTACAAAATTCGGAATTTAATATAGTTTCAGACCAAAAGGCTACCCCGATTATATATCTTAGGTACAGTGAAAAGTTTTTTTGAAGATTAAATTTTTTGGATAGTTTGATAAAATCCTTAAAAAAATACATCAAAATTTTAAGATATTGCTGTTTACAATTTCTAATATAAGAAAACAGAAAAAGAGAAGAGAAGAGGAGGTTCCGACTACTTTTCTTAAAATAAGACAAGATTATGCAATTTGCAGACTGGATAACTTTATCGACTACCAGAAGAAAATAAATCAATTTTATATTTCTTTTCTTTTAAAATTATTTTAAAAATAGAAAACTCAAAAATGATGTTAACAAAAAGTTTGGTTCAATCAATAAGTTTTTAGAGGTCATTACATAGTTGAAGGTAAAAATATATCGATCCATTTACCCTACTGCTATGAATTATTTATATGCTATGGTTGAATATATTAGTTATCAACAAATTAAAAATTCACCTTGAATTTAACAAATAACAAAGTGATGCCAACTTTTCTTACAGTAAATATGTATATACATAGCTTCTGTAGTTAGCTGGCATTTTATACCTTGATTTGTTCTAACAATATTTTGTTTCTTGTAAGATAAATAATATATCTGTGACTGCTGGTGGAATGTTTATTTTCTGTTTTACCTTAATTTGATTAAGATTCGGCTAATCTAGACTCTAGTCATGAAGTAGTAGTCAAAGGTGAGAAATGATGCCTTTTCTGTTTACAAAAGCAATGAAAATGATATACATGAATAATTAATGTTTCTTGAAACCTAAAAAACAAATAATAATGATTTCATCAGAAACTTTGTGCCTTCGTGTCTCGTACCATATTCACTTGTGTCAAGCGGGCGTCAAACGCCCACAGTCGCTGACCTCAGCGACTTCCAACAAACACACACATTATATATCATCTGCGTAACACATGAATCATCATGCTACATCAAACCATATAAAAATATTCAGTAAAATTCGGTACCAGATAATATAATAACAATAATCTCCACGCATAAACCAACTCCTCTCTTCTCTATAAATACACACATTTGCCTCCACTTCCTCTCGTTCAAACATTTCTTCATCCTTCAGTTACTACAATATTAAAAAAAAAAAAAAAAATCCTTATCTTCAACCGACAATGGGAGAGGTCAGTGAAAATTCTATTTTTTCCTTTGATTTTGAAGTTTTATTATCCAAACTTTTCTTGATGTATTTCTTATTATATGCGTATGTAGAAACAAGAAGGTGCTAACGTTGAACATGAGAAGAAGGCAGCCACCGTAGTCTCTGCTGAGACGGTCGACGGCAAGCCAAAGAGCGGCGGAGGTGATTCCACGGCAGCTCCGGTTGCCGCAGCCTCCTCTGCCTTTATTTACAAAGTGGATATGCACTGTGAAGGCTGCGCCAAGAAGATCAAGCGGATGGTGAAGCACTTCGACGGAGTGAAAGATGTGGCGGCGGATATGCGTGGGAACAAGCTCATGGTGGTCGGAAAGATCGATCCGGTGAAACTCGGGGAGAAGTTGGAGGAAAAAATGAAGAGAAAGGTGGTACTCGCAAACCCACCGCCATCATTACCGCCGAAGGTAGACACATCTGCTGCCGTTGGAGAGAAGAAATCTGACGGTGTAGATAAGGCGGCGGCTTCTACTCCTCCTCCTCCGGCCGCTCCCAAAGAGGTATAAGATTTAATTGAATAAAGACAAGAGACAACTATGCTTTTTGCAATTCAGTTTTTGATTGTATACAATGATAGCTACTAAACCCTTTCTCAAAAAAAAAAATGATAGCTACTAAAAAAAAAAATTAGGCAGCTAAAAATTTAAAACCAGATTTAATTGTCTAACAAAGAAGTGTATAAATAACTGATTTGGATTTAAATTGTTTTTGTTCAGAGTTTGGTGGCTTTAAAGATCAGACTACATTGCGAGGGATGTATACAGAAGATCAAGAAAATAATACTGAAAATTAAAGGTAAGGCGAATATAATCGAATGAAGTTGCTAAAATCTAAAATTCAATATAATTATGCTAATTAATCAATATTAATATTAATTATCAGGGGTCGAAACGGTGGCTATTGACGGAGCCAAAGACGTGGTGATGGTGAAAGGAACGATGGACGCCAAAGAACTTGTGCCCCTCCTCACTAAAAAGCTCAAACGAACCGTCGAGCCTATTCTTCCGGCCAAAAAAGACGACGGAGCCGCAGAGAAAAAGAGTACAGAAGCCGCTCCTCCCGCCGCAAAGAAAGAAGGTCCAGCCTCCGGAGTTGGCGAAGCAAAGAAGGAAGGAAGTGAAGCTGGAGAGAAGAAGAAAGAGGCCGGAGACGGCGGAGAGAAGAAGAAAGAAGCTGGTGACGGCGGAGAGAAGAAGAAAGAAGCTGGTGACGGCGGAGAGAAGAAGAAAGATGTCGGAGACGGTGGAGAGAAGAAGAAAGAGGCCGGAGACGGTGAGAAGAAGGAAGGTGGCGGCGGAGGTGCGCCGGTGGCGGTGGTGAATAAGATGGATTATCAGGGGTACTCATATCCGACGGCTCCAATGTACTGGCAAGAAGGACACGTGTACGGCCAGAGTTATCCGATGGGAGGTCAGAGTTATCCGATGGGTGGTCAGAGTTATCTAGGTTCAGGATACAATTACGCGAGTGAGAGTTACATGCCGTATTCGCAGCCAAACATGAACGCGGCTCCTGGAATGTTCAGCGACGAGAATCCCAATGGCTGCTCCGTGATGTAACTATGGGGTTTAACTGTAAATATACGAGACTTTAAGGGTCAAAATCCAAAATGTGGAACATTCACAAATGGTGGTGGCTTTTAGATAAATTTTTGAAGTTGATACTTGATATGGATCCAGCGGGTTCTTACGTGTAACACCGTTCCTTTGTTAGTTAGTTCTTTTTAATCTTTAAAATAATCATTTGCTTTACTCACTTTAATTGTAGTGTCAGCAAACAATTAACAAAAAATACTGTAAAATGATGAAAGGAAAATAATTATTTTTCGCGATGGATAATTTGGTAGAACTGTTGATCTATTTAGAAAGATGATTCAAATGATTATCTTTGTACAAGATCATGAATAGATGAACAAAAGTTATATGGTTTTTTTGGTGGAAAGCTAAATAAAACCATTTTTTCTCAGATCAACTATGATATCATTATCTCCATTGTAATTATTGTTACCCTTTAATTAAGTGAAGTTTTATCTTTATGGCATCGAATGAATCATTAGTCGTCCCTTCAATAATTCATTAATGAATTTCAGAATTGTATAGTTCTGAGTTGAATTCAGTTAGTAATGATAACATCAGTTGTCGTAAGATCATACATGTATATATATACACACACATATGTATATACAGTGAGCGAAAATGGCATCTAAAGTTTTTCTTTTCCTTTTTGGTCAATAAGCTGAAAAGATAGCGACTACGTAAAGACTATCTAACAGAACAAAAATTATAAGTTCGAATTGCAGTGATGTAATTCAAAATAAAACATGCATCGAGTCACGAAATAAGAAAACCAATAATCGAGTCACGAAATAAGAAAACCAATAATTGGAGAATATCATCTACAATTTATAGTTCAACTATATATAATACTTCGTACGATTCATCAATCATCATTATAGTTGGTTGTGTTCAGTACCAGTATTTTCTAGACTATATATAAGCATTTCTCGTAGTGTCTCCCATCTTTATGCAAGATTTTAACATGTTGCTGAACACACACAAATCACCATATACGGATATACAAAGACTTAGCTCATATATATGGGGTAATGAATTTGTTAATTGCACAATTACGCAAGTGTTTTTAACGTATATCATTTGTTTGCATCCTCTACGTGTATGTGTGCATTATATTATTGTTATAATTACATGGATATTATTTATACATGATTTAGCATGAATAATGGTGGCTTAACCTTGATAAGAAAACAAATAGTGACTTAATCTTTACGTATGTTACTTCTAGAGTGTTGCACAAAGACAAACCGATCAAAACAAAGTCATCTTGATTATGATTCCGTCACTTTCTGTTTCGTCTCTCTAATCTTCTTTTCTTTGTATACAAGAGGAGTATTGTATTCTCTTTCTCCGAATCATGTAATTAATAAATCAATCATTTGATGCTGAGGATAAATCAAATCCGCACAGGCGCACATCCTATTTTGAGGTTTATTTATGGAATGATGAAAACATAAAATATATCCTCTATACCCCCCATAATCCACTTATATTACAAACTTTATATTTGGAAAATATACATATCGAATTATAATATGTTTACAAATATATTAAATCATAAATAATACTAACATACGTTGTGGATAGCGTTGGAACTCTCCTCTCTAGGCAAATAATTGCATGTGTTCATGTACGTGTTGCCAAATTGATCACTTCTTGTCGCAATAGAGAGCTTAAAATAAAAATTATTTGATTTCCCATGCTCCCGTCAACTTTTTTCGTTTCTTTTCATATGACCCAAGTACTTGGTCTCACGTAACGATGTAAGCTAGTGGAGATATAATAAGAAGGGACCCTGATAAGAAAGTGACAATACAAATAAAGTAAAGAAGTTTTAATTATTTGGGGCTACAGAGAACATGTAATGAACCAAACGTCTTGTATCTTTTATCGTTTGTTACGAGGATATAAAATTCAAAATCCTATTTGGCGCTAGATATAATAGTATCGTGTCAATTATCTTGTTGGGAAAATTCTAGATATTGATCATATATAGCTACAAAGTAAAATAGATACTTTCTAATTTCGTACATAAACTATATTGTACCATGGTTTGAAAACCAGTTTTTACTCATATAAGGTCATAAAATTTGCTTCACTGACTTTAGATCATGAACATTTTTTGTTTGACGATATATATATCACTCATCATTTTTCATGGATATGTCACATATACGCAAACGTCTTGATTATAAATTTTATAGTCAAATCAATAATAAAGCTTTCTTAGACCATGCACACATTGTTTGTCCATACTCTCCATATTAAACTAGTAATACAAATGAAACACTCATATCTTAAATTTTAAAGACCAATTAATCCGTGTCTAAAAAAACCGAATTTAATCCAAATTTTTGCGAGTTAAGTCTGCCAAACGCTGGCCAGCGGTAACCAATCATTCATGTATCTACGTCCTCTTGGATTATAAAACATTTTCCCTTGGTTATTTTGGATTAGCCTTAGTTTTCAAAAAGGTTCTCCTTTACCTAAAAATGTATTTGGAATTTTCTGAATCTAATTAATATTAGAGAAACGGTATATATAAATAAGTAATATCATGCATAATGCATTTGAATGACCAGTTAATCTATTTAATTAAAATGGGAATCCACCTAAGATGTTATGTCATTGCTCACTATGAACATATATTGACAAATAATAACATTAGTGATAATATGAATTAGGTGATAGGTTGCAAAATCCAATCAAAGGCCACCCATGTCTCCTTCATGGAAATGGATCTGGCCGCAGAAAATACAAGAAACTCAGCAATTAAATAAATGCAAAAATTAGTGGATATCTATTTTGTGGCTGCAAATTAGTGGATATCTATATATCTATCTATTTGATTGTTGATTGCATTACGATATTGCCACGTAGATGCTGTTAACTCACTACGGTTCTATAATTCTCACTAGTAAAAAGATGTGTGAAACATTTATCCTTAATGAATAAAAATAAATGGAATAAGTGTGGTTAGTATAGAAAAAATAATTGGCAAACATAGCATAGCTGAAATGAAATGGTGACTAAAAAAATACTTCTATAATAACTATATTTCAAGTGAGTATAATGTGCAAGAATATGAATTATGGTCATATACGTTTATCGTTTTTTGTTATGTAGTAATATTATTTTAATTAGTTACTTTTACAGGCTATTTTTGTTTCAGTCAATTTACATTTTTACCAGGAAATATTTGTTGAGAAAAAGAAAAAAACGAATAATGCTTGTCTAAGTATACAAATGTCAACAAAAGATAAATTGTTATGGGTTTGTGTTTTTTACTGGTTATACAATTGTTCAAGTGCTTACGAAAAAACTACAATAATAGTGGACATTATGTATACGTACGTACACACACGTATGATATCTGAAGCATGGGACAATTATCGTTGAATGGTGTCCGCGCCAAAATAGGGTTTTATGTCCGGAATCTGAAAAGGGTTTGGATTTGGAATATATCGGTTTGACTTATACGTCTGCGTGAGAGACGATGCATCTTCATCAATCATCATAGTTGGAGACAGGCCGATCCTGACGTTTTGAAAGGCTAAAGCAGTAGTAAACAGAGTATATAGTTTTAGTTTAGAGTATATATATATACTGGCTCCAACATTTCTATTAACAACTACTTGCATATACAAAAATATTACGTTCTTGCAAGTTGCAAATTAAACATCTTTGCAACTTGCAAGTAGTTGTTAATAGAAATGAAGGCCATGCCTTTGATCGTCCATAATAAATGTTATATTTATAATTGGCTTAAGACAAGTTCTATATTATAATAGAAAGAAACCTATGTCACCAAAGTACAATACAAAACTAATAAGAAAAATACATCTCCACATGTCTATAGTATAACATATCATGCAAATGTTTCTTGGGTCAAATCTCTACGCTTGGTGTAACAAATTGAACTTGTCAAATAACTTGAGCAAGAAAAGCCCAAAGTCCGCTGGATTCATGATTCATCGCATCGTAACTCCGTCCTCTGACTTTCTCCATCGTTGAGCTCAGTTTTCAACAAAACGATAAGTCAAACTTTAACCAAAAAGAACTGTAAGGCAATCCATTAAAAGTACTGTTATTTACATAGAAACTATGTGCGTATATGAAATTAGTTGCATGGGTACCATAATATAGAAGTTGAACTGTGAGAGAAAAACAAGTTCTACGTCAACACAATACAATCTATTAAAAACTATTGGACGAGTATAATTTTTTTTACTTTGAGGTTCAATTCTTAGATTCAGTTTATATACAACGAAAGTGGGAATAAATGAACATGTTTTTGTTTTGGGTCAGGAAAAATGTAAAATTCGTAGGGAAGAAAGGATTAGAAAATTGGAGGTCTTGTGGACTAGTTAATATTGGTCTAAATGAAAAAGCCCATCTATCTATGTGTTGGACCAGACTTGTTTCTCCTTTTATAAGGCTTTGAGACATTTTCGGACAAAAAAAAAAAAATTACAAATTGAAATATTATTATTTTGTGTGGATTGTGATCGTCTGAATATGTAACACTTTCTTTTCGGGGGACATGCGACTTGCGAGATGCCAACCCGAGCCACGTGCATTACACGGATTCATAACGATTTCCTTTTCTTTTTTGTTGGCTTTAAAGAGAGACAAAATAGTAGAAAAATCCTTTTATTTTCTTTTTCATTAAATTGGTGAAAAAGATTTGTCCATTATGTTAATTTTCGAATTTTTATTTAAATTATACTTAGCGTGATAAAGGCAACTGGCCGAGTGAACTTTAATTTGATTTAATCAAATCATAAGGATTTTACATCTATTTTTTTTTCTTTTGTTCTTAAATATCATTTGGTAAAATTAAAAAAACTCACTTAGTTTTTAACTTTTAACAAACCAACCAGTAAGTAATTATAATGGATATTTTCACATCGTAGATAACAAGTAATTAATTAATTACATTCATTTTTATTTTTTCATTTAATTTTTATGCGAATGTAAAACAAGAAAAAAAATAAAAAATTTCTCTCTTCCTTGTTCAACCGTAGGTGTTCGTCGGAAAAGTATCTTCGGCTTCAAATTTCTTTAGATTTTCCCTTTATTTTCGACTACCGTTCGCCAATCCCAGGCTCTGCATCTTTCTCAGGTAAATTCATCGTCTTTTTCGTGTTTTTTTTTGGTGTTCAAACATGTTTCTCTTTTGATTTTCTGTTAAAACTTCGAAATTGTTTGAGTATTTATTTAGTAACCTTACTTCTTAATTTCGTTAAAAAATCTCGGTGTTCGCATATGAGATTCAAATGCGTATAATGTCTATTAAGGTAATTAGGGTATCGAATTGGGCGTTTCGTTTTGATCTGGTGAAATTAAATTTAGGGTTTTATTGACGGTTGATTTGTTTTGTCCTTCATTGCAGCTTCGAAATTAGGGTTTGTTTTTTTTTTTTTCAATTTGTATAAATTGGTGAAATATTTTCCTACGGAGTTGAATTACGTTGCTCAATTTCTTGGTTGATGATCGCATTCGCTTTTTTTTTTTTTTTTTCTGAGTTTCACAATTTTTCGAAGATTTTCATGGTCATGATTCATTGCTCTGATTTGTAGGAACTTGAAATCTTAAGGAAGAGTTGCAACTTGATTTTTGATTTGGGGATCTCTCAAGAAGCATGATTGCTTAAACCGATATCGCACATTATTGTGCAATGCAAGGCGAAAAGGAGGTGTTGTTGAACAGTGAAGGTCCTATAGACGAGGGCCGAGTATCATTAAACCAAAACAGCAATCCGAATATAGACTCTCCAGCTTCTATCTGTGTTGCTAAGTTTCCTGGTATGTTGCTTTGATTCAGAAGTTTTTGTTTGTATGTTTCTCTTTTTTTTTTTTTTTTAAGCTGAGACATGAGTTTTGATTATGTTATGTATATGTTTGGAGTGCAGCTAAGAAGCCGACGAGGCAATGGGCTGCTTGGACGCATCAAGAAGAGGAAAGTTTCTTCACTGCGCTTCGTCAAGTTGGAAAGGTATTAAAATTTGAATGGGTTTAGCCTCTTTTTGTTTGGTTATGTGTGAGTGACATTCTCTTTGTGTTGATTTTGCAGAACTTTGAGAAGATTACTTCTCGTGTCCAAAGCAAAAACAAGGACCAGGTTGGTTGATAGAACTTTGGGTTTTGTTTCTTTTTCACTCGTATTTACTTTTTTTGTTTCTCATAGTTGTGGAAACTTGTTTGTCATTTTCAGGTTAGACATTACTATTATCGCTTGGTGAGGCGTATGAACAAGCTGTTGGGTCCGGAACTGAGTCTTGATGCCAAGAACCCAAAGGACACAAATGCTGCAATGCTACGATGGTACTTTCTTTTCCTTTATGCTCTGTGCTGGTATTGTAGATTGTTGAAGTGTACATTATCATAAACAAATGATGAACATTACTCTCTGTGAAGTTTTTAACAAGATAACAAGTTCAGATCATCATTTTCTGTCCTAAGTATACATTCTTTTTGTTTGTGTCCTGCAGGTGGTCTTTACTGGAAAAGTATAGCTGCAAAGCTTCAAAACTTCACCTCAAACCCCGGAGATTCAAGCTATTCCTAGAGGCCTTGGTTAGTTAGCAAATGATTTCGTTTTAAGTCAAAACCATCTTGGATTTGACAAGGAATTGTTTTCAAACTATTTTCTAACAAACCCTTTTGCGTGAAGGAACACCAATTGCTGAAAGACCGCAGAAAAACCACAAGAAAACGTGTTTGCCAGGGAGAAAATTTATCTGCCGCTTCCCTTGGAAACATCTCAGGTCATAGCAGGGAAAGAGGATTGGATAATCGTCCATTTAAACTTATTCTTTGCGACAGCCAAAATGTTAAAAAGCTAGGGCCTGGAAGAACATCAACCAAACATGGTGAAAGCCTAGGTGATGAAAAAGAAGATACAGCCTTTGGGAGAGGTGGAAGGCAACGACGAAAACAAGGTACTTTTTCTCTGCTAGTTTTTATGCAAGTTTGTTAGATAGGCAGTTTTCTTTTGCCTCATATTGTGTGTGTTTCTAGTGTTCATACTGGTTTGGACATTATCTGCTTTTAATTTTCCATGTTTATAGTAGGCTTTTGAAAAACTTGATGTAGTTCCTGGTTCTTACTTGACTCGAAGCAGTTCTTCCATCTTCAGCAGGTTGTAGAAAATGGGAAAAGGCTGCAATAGATGGAGTCTCTTTGGTTGCTGATGCTGCAGAGCATTTAGAACGAACATCAATCGACAATAATATGGATGGTCAAAAAGGTTTACTTTCTAGTATTTGGATGATATTTCATTTTTAATTTTCTTAGATGTTTGTTTATTGAGGAAACACATGTGCAAATTCTAAATCAGATTCTCTTTTGTCTCAGACTTAGGTCCCACAAGATATTTAATCGGAAAGTCCCCTCTTTCTCTATGCTCGTCTGGTGAGGTTCCTCTCAGTGATGCCAATGCCAAGTTGAAACTTCAGTTGTTCCCAATTGATGAATCTACTCGCAGATCCTTGGAAATGGTAAGCTTCAAATAGGAATTATACTGTTTGGTGCAATATTTTTATGAGACGTGAATCGGAGCTTGATCTGTTGAACAGGAGAAGCACAATCCGCATCTGGAACTTACTCTTAGTAATCGCAAGAAGATATCTTCTGTGCTGGAACATCTCAATCGCAAATGGGGAAGTTCAAGTTGTGCGACTGGAGAGCTAATTCTGTTCCCTTACAATGCAAGGAAAGAAACTGTAACTTGTCATCAGAGATGGACCCATGAATCATTTCTAAGCGCAGCAGAAGTGCATTCTATGGTTGGAAGTCCCTCAATCTTCCGCTTAAGGTTTGCTCTCATATTCTCTTGGTCTTTTGCAGGTTTCTTTTAAGTCAGTATATCAAACGGGATAAACCAAAATCAATTTTTTTTTGTATTTATTTGCAGGTATGGCTGGTTCGTCCATGATGCATCAGGTTCTTTGATCTCTCAAGCTCCAGCTTCAGCTTCTTGTCCTTCACTCGAGGATGACATGAATGTGGATGAGGCGAATGAGGTGAACGAAGTGGATATGTTCCTTACTGAATCAGGACACATATCTGTGCCTCCAACTGCTGAACAAGCGGCATCTGTAGTATGTGCCTCTGGTGAAATCTATGATCGTCCTGCAGAATGTAGAGATAATTATGAACCTTCCTCAGCGAGTATTACTCCATTTAATCACATGAGCAGCGGTAATGCACTATCAGCGGGAGAATGGGCTGATAGTCTTACTAACGTAAGTATAGGCGATCTACTTTCTGAAGTGCCCAATGACATAGATAGCGATTGTGTGGAACCACACGCCACTGAGGTTTCACATTGCCTCCTTCGAGATGTCTCATTTGCCTCTGACTCTTTTGATGCTGCAATCGCTGCTCATATACTAAGACACCAGAAGAAGCCAAGTGCTCTAGTACCGATGACTACTACTGGCTCGTCTTCTCTATGGGATGATGAAGAAACACGCGATGCCTTCTCTTTCCGAAAGAATCGTTTTGCAGATTCCACCGAGCTGGCTAATGTTGCTTCTCCTGTAGGTGTTGGTAGAGTATATGGAGAGCCTTCTCACTTGGTGGAGGTAACTATATCAGTCTCGAACTCTCCACTTCCACAGCTTCTTACCACTTATCTGATTCAATACTTTCTTTTAGGCTTTATCCGGCGATGAAGGGCCTTGTAACCCTCCCGACCATGGAGATCAAATGGAAGAGAGTCCAAAAGACCCTCATACGATGGATTCTCCAGGGAAGATCCATTGTGGGCTTGCGGATGTATATTGGGTAAATCTCAAAATCTTATATTTTTCTTCAAGAGTGAAAAAACAATCATATATATTCTAAAACACTTGTTTTATAACTCCTTGCAGCCCGACTCGCTAGGACCATTAGATCTAGACCTTAGATCTTCAAAGTACAGCGAGGATTTGATCTTCACTGAGAGCCTCGGGGGTTTGAGCCGTCTGATAGCGACCAGCCTTGACGCGTTTCAGAACTGCTCGCTCTTTGGGTTTGACAACAAGAAGGATAAGTCTAACATGGTCTGAAATGGGAACCAAAGCAAAAGCATGGGGTCAAAATGTTGATAGCTGAAAAAAGAAAGCGTCTCCTTGCCTTTGAAAGAATAAACTTGATCATAACTTGATAGCTTCACTGTACAAAAAAAATCTGATGAAAGTTTTTATCTCTTCCTTTCTCTCACACATTCTTCTGTGTTTTACATGTTTCTATGTGTACACTTTTACTGTTATTTACATGCTTAAGTTGGCTATCATGCCGTTTTCTTTTCTACACTTTTGTTTTGTTTATTGAAGTTAATTTTCATGGCTGGCCAAAGCAAAAACATGTCAGATTAATATTCTAAAGTCTAAACTCTTTAAAGAATTGAGTAAAAAAAAATGAATTTGTGTAATTTGAACATTTTTTTTTGAATGAGTGGATATGTCCTCTTAAGGCCCACGAAAATGATGTAAGCCAACTTGCAATATAAAGACAACACATATATGATGGTCCAGTCTATTCCCTTCATACGTAACGTCGAAGAGATCCTCTCTACGTGCCCTTGTAATATCCATCCTCCTATTGTATTCCAGAACCAAATTTGACGGCTTCTGTTGTCACGAGACATCTTTTCTACAATCTATGTAACACTATTGGTCGTATGATTCAGAAACATTGATACATATATAGCCATATTCGACTTCTTCTCTAGTCACGAGTAGTTCTGGTCACGAGATATCTTTTATACAGTCAAATATAACACAATTGCAGATATGATACAAAATGATTGATATAGAGCCATTTTCAAGTTCTAATATACACATCTCTGGACTCTATACATAATTGTTAAGAATGCTATATCTGTATTGAGATGAGACTTTGATTGTAAGTTGGAAAAATCGTGTCGTACCAAAATATAGTGTTGAGCCATAATTACTCACGTAAAATATGTTATCGATTCTTGAATATAAATTGATTAGGAATAGATGGAAATAATCATTATCTTGAATGACACATGTTAAAATTCTTACTACGAAAGTAATGTGAACCATCAAATATAAATTAAGAATGTCACAAACTGCTCAAATTTATCTAGTATATACTTGGACGCCAGTAAAATGATCATCATATTATATGATATGCTTGTTTTAGTTTTATATCGATTAATTGATGAAGTGTTTCAAGTTGGTTCAAAAGAATCTCCATTCAAGTTTTGTAGAATGATATTGTAGAGAAATATAAATGTACTTATACCATACTTAATCTTACTATAAAGTATAAACCATAAGAGAAATTCAGTCCATATATACCACTCAAAACACCAAGCAAAATGTACAAATTGTTCCAAAAAGCAGAAAGCAATGGAGAGAGCAAAGTCGAGGAAGCCTCATGCCATAATGATACCATACCCACTTCAAGGCCACGTCATCCCTTCTGTACACTTAGCCATCAAACTCGCTTCTCATGGCTTCACCATCACTTTCGTTAACACCGAATCCATCCACCACCAAATCTCCACCGCTCGCCACGGGGACGCCGGAGACATCTTCTCCGCAGCCCGCAGCTCCGGCCAACTCGACATTCGTTACACCACTATGAGCGACGGCTTCCCTTTGGGGTTCGACCGGTCACTTAACCATGATCAATTCTTCGAAGGCATGCTCCACGTATTCTCTGCCCACGTCGATGATCTCATCGCCAAAATCTCTCGACGGGGTGATGATCCTCCGGTGACTTGTTTGATCGCCGACACTTTTTACGTCTGGACGTCTATGATTTGCGAGAAGCACAAACTTGTTAATGTCTCGTTTTGGACCGAACCTGCCTTGGTCCTCAATCTTTACTATCACATGGATCTCCTTATATCCAACGGCCATTTCAAATCTCTCGGTAATACTCTTAGAAATCATGCCTGTCTCATTTTGGACCGAACCTGCCTAGGTCGGTGACTAGCTAAGCTAGTTAATGAACTTTTTTATACAATTGTCTTATATAGTATATGGTCTTAGTCAACATCATCTATATTTTTTTTCTTCTTTTGACTATATTGTAGATAATCGTGAAGACGTGATCGATTACGTACCAGGAGTTAAAGCAATAGACCCAAAAGACTTGATGTCATTTCTTCAGGTAAGCGACATAGACACAAACACAAGGTCCTATAGAATATTATCTAAGGCCTTTAAGGATGTCAAGAGAGCCGATTTCGTGTTATGCAACACCGTGCAAGAGCTCGAACCAGACTCTCTCTCAGCTCTACAAGCCAAACAACCGGTTTATGCGATCGGTCCGGTTTTCTCAACAGAGTCGGTTGTCCCCACGAGCCTATGGGAAGAATCAGACTGTACCGAGTGGCTCAAGGACCGGCCCGCCGGGTCGGTCCTCTACATTTCGTTTGGTAGCTATGCACATGTTTGTAAGAAAGAGATCGCTGAGATAGCCGATGGGCTTTTGCTAAGTGGGGCTAGTTTCATTTGGGTTTTACGTCCCGATATAGTTGGATCAGACGTTCCGGATTTTCTTCCGACTGGATTCAAGGACCAGGCCCAAGGTCAAGGCCTTGTGGTCCAGTGGTGCTGCCAGATGGAAGTGATCTCAAATCCGGCCGTTGGAGGGTTTCTAACACATTGTGGATGGAATTCGATTCTAGAGAGCGTTTGGTGCGGTTTACCGTTGTTGTGTTATCCGCTTTTGGGCGATCAGTTAACGAATAGGAAGCTTGTGGTCGATGATTGGCGCATTGGTATTAACCTTTGTGAGAATCAAATGATCACAAGGGACCAAGTCTCGGCTAATGTTAAAACGTTGATGGTGAACGGAGAAACTTCAAGTGAGCTAAGAAACAACGTAGAAAAGCTTAAACGTCATGTAAAAGATGCGGTTACAGCCGTTGGATCTTCGGAGACGAATTTTAACTCGTTTGTTAGTGAGGTCCGAGATAGAATAGAAACTAAATTATGTAATAATGTAAACGGGGTGAAATTAAATGGGCTGGAATTTTAATTCTTTCATGTCTTTTTTTGTCTTGTCTATAGGAAGTTTCATGGCTGCACGGCATATAAGCACGTCAAAGAATATTCAATAAAAAGTAATATTCTTTATGCTTTTAGATATAAAGTATAGTTAGAAGCTTACTGTAAGTGTAAAGAAGATACAATACAATATGCAATATGTGTATAGTTAGACAAGAACTATGGAGTTTGTGTAATTATGAGTGGTAAAATTAAGTGACCCTTAGCAAAAATGATGAAAGCCAACTTGTCATATAATGACAAATATGCTTTAAGTGTGATACACCGCTTTACACTGGCCTACTCTTTCTTATCACGTCGAGATCGTACACGAACAGACGGTCTCAACGTGCCCTTTGAATATTCAGCCTATTTTCCAAAAAACCAAATTTGACGGCTTCTCTTGTCACGAGATATTTTTTTTTGTAAGGCAATCAATACAATACAATCATTCAATCAATCATACTATACAAAATATTTATCGAATTCTAATTGACATTCACACGTTGGAATTGAGATGATATGTAATATACATGAGCCAATCCTTTTAGTTAAAAAATAATATGGTTGGTTTTTTTTTTCCATTATACAAATTTAAAGGCATATTATTGATATATAAATCGTTATGCTGAATTGGTTTAATTGGTGAAGTGTTTGAAGTTTTTTTTTTCTCCAAAAGAATATCCAATCAAGTTTAAATACGAATGATGTGGTAGAGGAAAAAATGATACATCAGATATTCACTTAAAAGACCAAGAAAATAAAAATCATCCAAACGCAAGAAGAATGGAGAAAACAAAGTCGAGGAAACCTCATGCGATGATGATACCATACCCACTTCAAGGCCATGTCATCCCTTTTGTACACTTAGCCATTAAACTCGCTTCTCATGGCTTCACCATTACTTTCGTTAACACCGAATCCATCCACCATCACATCTCCACCGCTCGCCAAGGAGACGCCGGAGATATCTTCTCCGCCGCCCGAAGCTCTGGCCAGCTCGACATACGTTACACCACCGTTAGTGACGGTTTCCCTTTGGGGTTTGACCGATCGCTTAACCATGATCAATTCTTCGAAGGCATTCTCCACGTCTTCCCTGCCCATGTTGATGACCTCATCGCCAAAATCTCCCGACGGGGTGATGATCCTCCGGTGACTTGCTTGATCGCCGACACGTTTTACGTCTGGTCATCTATGATTTGCGATAAGCATGACCTCGTTAATGTCTCGTTTTGGACCGAACCTGCCTTGGTCCTCAATCTCTATTATCACTTGGATCTCCTCATATCCAACGGTCATTTCAAATCTCTCGGTAATACTCTAAGAAAACATGATACTGATGTGTTTAATACTCATCTTATTCATAATAAATATGTATCATTTAGCACCGATGACTTTGTCTTTTTTTTTTTGTAACTAAAAGTGTTATTGTTTATTTTAAATTTAGATTCTTAAACCATTTTATCTTTATTACAGTAATTTAGTTTTTTAACTAGAACTTTATGTCTTTCGACATTAAAAATATAAACTATAAAAAGTATAATAATATGAAAAAACTAATTAAGACGAATACAGTAATGAAACAGTGGAAATACATAAAATTTGTATTTTTTAGCTAAATAAAAACAAAAACATAAATATCACCAAATTTTGGGTCTGTATTTTTATACTTTTGATCTCAGTTATTTTGAAAATTGTGGCGAGTCATAAATGATGACAAAATTATGTATTATCTCGGAAGAAAATATGCATTCATGATTTGTATATTTTTGTGGAATTTGGTCACTAGATAGTTGATGAACTTTTTCTGATATATTAATATATTATATGGTTTTATGACATCATTTGTAGATAATCGTGAAGATGTGATCGATTACGTACCAGGAGTAGAGGCAATAGACCCAAAGGACTTGATGTCATATCTTCAAGTGAGCGACAAAGACGTAGACACAAACACAGTGGTCTACAGAATAATATTCAAGGCTTTCAAAGACGTCAAGAGAGCCGATTTCGTCTTATGCAACACCATACAAGAGCTCGAACCAGACTCTCTCTCGGCTCTACAAGCCAAACAACCGGTTTACGCAATCGGTCCGGTTTTCTCAACTCAATCGGTTGTCCCCACGAGCCTATGGGCCGAGTCAGATTGTACAGAGTGGCTCACGGGCAAGCCCGCCGGGTCGGTCCTCTACGTTTCGTTCGGTAGCTATGCACATGTTGGTAAGAAAGAGATCGTTGAGATAGCCCATGGGCTTTTACTAAGTGGGCTTAGTTTCATTTGGGTTTTACGTCCCGATATAGTTGGATCCGATGTACCGGATTTTCTTCCGGCCGGGTTTGTAGACCAAGCCCAAGGACGAGGCCTTTTGGTCCAGTGGTGCTCTCAGATGGCAGTGATCTCAAACCCGGTTATCGGAGGGTTTTTAACACATTGTGGATGGAATTCGATTCTAGAGAGCGTTTGGTCCGGTTTGCCTTTGTTGTGTTATCCGCTTTTGACCGATCAGTTCACGAATAGGAAGCTTGTGGTTGATGACTGGCGCATTGGGATTAACCTTTGTGAGAAGAAGACGGTCACAAGGGAACAAGTCTCGGCTAATGTTAGAAAGTTGATGATGAACGGAGAAACTTCAAGTGAGCTTAGAAACAACGTTGGAAAGGTTAAACGTCATTTGAAAGATGCTGTTACAGCCGTTGGATCTTCGGAGACGAACTTTAACTCGTTCGTTGGTGAGGTTCGAGATAAAATAGAAACTAAATTATGTAATATTATAAGTAGGTGAGAGACATGTTAATGGTTTAGTCACTTATGTATGCTTGAAGTCTTGGAGAGGAAACCTATCGATAAAGATATGTCTTGTATGATTACAATTTAGAAAATACAAAACATTTTTCAAACAAGCAGTGTGATGCAATTAACACAAAATAATTTAACATCTGTCACCTACTATAGTCAAAATTAGATTGCATATATATAATTCGTACGAATTTGACTAGATCACGTGGGCTCTTATAGGTCGTACTGAACTTCTTCATAATTATTTCATATCCCTATTCTCCCAACTTTATTTCTTCTTGCGTCAGTCAGTGTTACTCCATTATCTTTCTTTCTATGGTTGGAAATTTTTTCAGAATTTGCAGCCGCACTAAATGATTTGTAAGCGTGTGGAAAAAAACAGTCATGCAGAATAATTTCTTAACCTCGTTTAATAAAACATTATCATCACTTGGTTTGCTTTCTAAATTTGTTGTCAACATCACTTACTTTGTCTTATAATTTGAAAGCGTGAACGAAAAACAGTCATTGAGAGCATTTTCTTAATCTCGATTGATTTATCGAGTACTATTATCGCTTAGTTTGCTTCTGTTTACATAATATAAATAATGCAATATTATTACTGATTTAAGTGATTAATCTGTAAATGCATGGATTGTAGATGGAGTTTTACGAACAGAAATCACATAATTTCGACCGTTGAAGTGCGTGTCCATATGACTTTTGGATATCGTTCTTGTGTTTTATTCTCCTTTAAACATATAATCTAATGGTTTATAATAGTGTTAGTGATCAGTATCATTACCCGAATCCAAACCCTCACAATATATAATACATGTTACTCCAAGGTAAATTTGATAATTTTCACTTGTCTTACGGTTTTTCATGGTCCCCTTACTTAATATAGCAGAAATGGGTAGTAAATATCAACCCGATTCAATATATTACTGACAAGTGACAACAACTGACCACTAAAACCATCATGATTCATAATTCATATATAATGCATAGGTAGTTCAAGAAATTTGAACAAAAGAATATACAAATTTTAAACATCAAATTTATAAAAGTTTATAGAAGAAAAGATTATTTTACATACCTAGAGAATTATAAGAAAAGACAAGAACATCACGCGCAGAAGAGATGGAGTCTGTGAATCCAAATCAGATGATGTCTTTGATGTGTTTTTATTCTGAAGCAGAGAATCTTCTATCTTTAGAATATATGACAATGTCTACTTTTATCCTGATTCAGTGATTTTACCATAGATAATATAACATTTTTAAATCCTCAACTTTAAATTAAAAAAAAAAGGAAAATTTCAAACTACAAAAGGCCATAATTTTTCCACGTTTCATCTATTTCCAGTACTTCAGGGCTTCATGCTGATTATATCGACAGAAAAAATTATCTCATTATGTCCAATAATTAATTTTTGTTGTTGCAAAACAAACATTCATCTGATTTAAAACCTGCGATACGTTAGAAATTTCAAACATTACCAATTTTGTCATTTTCAGTTAACTAGCAAACAAACATATTTATATATTATAAAAAAAAGAGCATTGCACCAAGCCACCAACCACAATCACCAACATCACTATAATGTCGTTAGCGCCATGACAGTCGTCGCCTCAACCACCACAAGTCCATGATTGTCGCTCTTGATCGATGCCATGGAACGCCACAACCATCAGTCACGACTACATGATATCGGTGACAATAGTGGCAGTGGCGATGATTGTGGTGGCAATAGTTCAAAGGTGACTAAATGAGCTAACCATATTTACATAAATATTGACAAAATAATAAAACGTAAAATGATGTTGCAACCAAAAATGGATTCAAAAGCTACCCATTGGAGCAAAGAAAAGAAAACACACAATCCTTTCTATAGTTTACGTAAGGACGTTGCTATAACATATTATTTTGAAAATATGAAGATGACAACCCAATATAACCACACACACACCAAGAAAATGGTAACATTCATTATGCCGAGTTTGAACTCAGATACTGATAACGACAACATTAGCAGAATTACTAAATTAAACTACATATCTCGGTCGAAAAGAAAAGCTAATTAGAAAAGGAATTTTTTTTTTTTTATCTCAAAACAAAACACAACAAAATTCAAGAGTCGTTACTGTCGCGGTTTTGGTCGCGCCAGCAAACTAACATGGCGATACAACGCCGAAGAATATAAAACTTGGCTCTTTGTTTCTTCACAACATGACTACACTTTTGCCCAAATGACTTGCAAGGCTCGCACGTGCGATTCTCCTCCGGTGCCATTGATTGGTTTCTACTCTTAGTGATTCCGACCACAATATAATAAACAAAACAAAAAGGGCAAAAGATGGAAGAGTTTGAAGGTTTCTGCTTATGAGCCTTTTGATTTGAGGAAGAGAGACAAAGATGGAGAGTTTAGTATATAGTCGTCAAGTGGAGGATGGGGCAAGAATTATCAAAAACTCAAAAGTGTGTTTCTTACTAAATGTCGCGGTGTATATATATATTAACTTTATCTATTTTGCATAATATCAAAAACTATTTGGTAGTAATTTTTTTTTAAAAAAAAGTCTCTTTGACTCGAAAATCTTAGTGACTTTTTAGTAGGAATAAACTAAAGAAACTTAAACCAAATCAATATACAATGTGCTTATTATCATTCTTTTTTTAGTTGCAAATGATACGTTGCTAAAGAAACTATTTATACGTTGCTAGTAACTGACATAATTGTGATATTTGTATTGTTAATACCAAAATGTGAACGTTAATTAAAAGGAAAAGTGAATGTATATAGTTTTTACCAGAATAACTCATCAAAAATAATAATATAAAAAACTCATGAAATAGATGCACTCTGCAAAGTAAAACCATGTATCACCATGAAGAAATTCAAAACACTGACACTGCTGAAAAAAGAAGAGTTGCACTGTTATGTTATGTCTTAAGGGAAAGAAACAAAACATGCACAGTTAAATTTAAATTCAATATTTATTTTTATTTTCGTCGACCTCTAATGTAAATCAATTTTTGGAGCTACTAAATGGTTGAAGCATTTGCCGCATTGGCATGCACCTGAACGTGAGTGGTCGTCCGTGTAAGCCAAACCCTACCATCTGTAAGAACTGTCGTCTTCATTGCAATTTATTGGGTTCGTACGATATTACCTTTTACACGCTTTTTCTGAAAATTTGCGTATCAATTTTGAATTGTACCTTTAACTTTTGGAAAATCTTGACGATATTAAAACTTTTTTTTGTCTCTATATATAAAAATTAAAAAACAATCTTGAAGCTCAACATTGATATTTAACACAAACAAGTCAATATTCCTAATTTTAAATGAATCAACTTGTTTGCATTTAACAGAAATTTTGTATTTTATAAAGTAATCTTCAGATCATGATCTATCATGCATTCATGCGTATTGATATTATTATATATATAGAGAGAGTTCAGTCGACACCATAAAATGTATCTGTTAATCTGTTATATGTTATTTTGGTTTGCAATTTATATGAATCTATAGTTATTAGTCAATGGAGATATATATATATGAGTTTATCACCTACCAGTTGCTAAAGATTTTACAAACAAGAAAATCGATCTACTATAACAAATGAAACTATGCTAATTCATCATTATGTATAGTTGTGTTACTCATGTATCACCATTTAATAAACATTATAAAAAATTATGAATCAAACTACTAATCAATAAAGCAAATGTTCAAAAAAAAAAAAAAACTACTAATCAATATAACTATGATAGTGCCTAAAGTCATGTGATACATGAACACATATGGGGAAGCATCCTACAATACAACACACGTCGTCTTTTAAAAATGTTTTATAACTAATTCAAAAAAAAAATGTTTTATAACGGTCTACAAAAAACTATATTCGTTCTCTTCGGTTATATACATTGCAAACGGGGCCACTAATTTTTCCTTTTAAGTTTATGAAAATTTGATTAAAAGGAAATAAACAGAGATGTGCACAGTTTAGATATAAAATCTCTTATCCAAGAAACACTATTCCTTGCCCCAAAAAAAGATCATAGATATTTCGTGATCCATCCTTTTCCTTGCCTTAGAGACAAAAACTTCTTATCCAAGAAAACCCTATTCCTCCGAATATCAACAAACCCCTTATAGAAAACAATTTTGTATACACATAGTATTATTAATAATAGAAGCAGCCAATTATCTCCATGAGCTAAACAAGCAGATCAGCATAAGCACTGAGTCCGTGGCTGTTCATGTTCTGCTTAAGCCTGTACAATGCCCGGCTCTCTAGCTGCCTTACCCTCTCCTTCGACAGCCCGTAAATCTCTCCTATCTCCGACAATGATCTCTGTTTGCCGCCCTCAATCCCAAATCTCAGCTTGATGATCCTTCTCTCCTTCGGGCTCAGTACATTCAGGAGATTCCGTACATGGTTCCTCATCAACTGCTTCCCAACGCTCAACGTCGGTGTCTCAATCCCACTGTCTGCTGTTACTTCCTGTGGATGGATTAAACGGTTATTACCAGGTTACGCTCAGTCAAAGTAACATCTTCAAAGAGAGTTTACCTGAAAGGTGGTGTCTTGATCAGACCAAATGGGCTGTTGCATTGAAAGAGGTGTTCTTGTGTTATACAGCAGTTTATCCAGCTTCTCTGTTGAAACTCCGACGTGGCTTGCGAGTTCTTCTTTGCTCGGAAGGTAATTTCCTTCCTGCAAGCACGTTTTTCTGGCTTCGGATACTTTTCCCAGAAGCATGTACACGTTCTCCTGTATTCACATGTGTAGGTTTTACCAAGTCTTGATTTAGAAGTTGTCTAGTAGATAAATGTTATATATCCGATGAATTCTTTAACAAGTTTGTACTTACCGGCAAACGGATTGTCCTCGAGTTTTGAAATATAGACTTTCTTATTGACTGTCGAATCCACCAGTAGGCATAAGTAGCGAATCTGCATCCGGATTGCGGTTTGAACTTCTCTACACTCTTCATTAGCCCCATGCTTCCTTCCTATGAACCATTTCAAGAAGATGTGTCATAAGAATGGACTTTCAAGTTAGATCAAGAAATCTTTTGTGTTCACTACATTGATCAGAGAGATATCTAGAGGACAAAACCAATGAGTTCGTTTGTAGCTAACCTGCAATAAGTCCTGAAAGTTGAGTCCGCGATTCTGATATTGTTTAGCGATATGGACTACAAGGCGTAGGTTAGCTGTAATCAGCTTTTCCCGGCTGCTTCTTCCCCGGTGGATTTCAGATTTCAAGACAGGGGTACTTAGCCCCATGGCTCCAGCCCACTCGGCTATTGTTGGTTCACAGCCGTTTTGAGATTCAAGTTTAGTCTTTGCCTTCTCCAACTTCATCAAATGCTGATATGTCAAAGATTACGCTAGTTAGCATTAGAGAAAGTTTCCAAGGAAGCTCAACAATAAGGAAGTCTCAAGGATACGGAAAAAGGGGAAGCATGAACCTGTATATGTGATATCAGCTCAGCTTCCTCTTTAGCAGTCAGAAGCTGTTTGGTCTCAGGTCCCCACAAGAAGAGCTGGAGCGCATCATCCGTATCAAACCCTTGTTTCATCTTTTTCTTGGCATTGATTTTCTGAGGAACATAACCTTCACTGTCCACATCATTTGCTTTTGGAGCCCTTCTGTTCTTTGCTCGTCTCTCCAGTAGCCGCTTCGATCTCACTATTGTTCCCTCTTCTGGCAACGACACGGAAGAGCTATAACCAACATCCAGAATCAGATATATTTTAACATTGTAGCCCGCAAGTAGCAGTAGCAGAAGCAGATCGATGAGATAGACAAAACAAAGTTTAAAAGAAAGCAAACCTAGTGGAGAGAGAATCCACGGTGTTGACAGATGGATCTGCTTCAGAGTCTTCCGCTAACAATGCAGCTTGTTTCGAAGCTGATAAAGCCTTCTGAGCTAGTGCAACCACATCACAAGGCTCCGCATCTTCTAAGGGAGATACAACTGTTAAAGGAGATATCAACCTGTATCAAAAAAGGTTACATCATCATTTAGGAAACTCAATAGGTTTGAATGAATATTCAGACAGGAGGGTTTCGAAAGGAAGAGACATTACAAATTCCATAAACCAGCAGATTGAAGCAGTTGCTGTTCAAATTTCTCATCTTCTCGAGATGAAACCAGTTCATCAAACCGCCTCCTCTCCAGAGTCAACTACAATTGCAAGGAAGCAAAAATGGGTATCGCTTGCAAATACAATCGAATGCGGGAATACAAACAAGAGACTAGAAAGTTGACAACTTTATGATTGAAGCTATAAAAACGAACCTGAGATGTTCTGTCTTCTCTAAACGCATGTGACAGAGGCCTAGACTCTTCCCGTGGCTCCTGTGAGAGAACTGACGCAGGAAAATGTCGAGATAGAGAGGCGAGATGACGTGAGTTAACTACAGGAGTCGCTGTTTGTTCATGAAGCATCACTACTGCAAAATAGCCCAAAACGAAAGAGGAAAATCAAAAAACACAGAAGGCTAATACAAGCTATTGTGAAAAAAAGCCATGACTGTCTCAAGCTATTGCATTTTTTACTTCACAGCCTAATTTGAGCTGATAATAATCAAAAGCAACGATCATCTAAGCGAGGAATGAATTCACGAAATAGTTTCAGCTACTCGAAATTTTTCAATCTATGAATTCTAGTAATCAGCAGAGACAGAAATTCATGGTAAAACACAGAACGTATATACGAATTAAAAAATGCTGGTAAGAAGTACCAGAGGAAGGAGAAGAGAAGCTGCTCTTGAGATGGGTCTTCGTCGGAAACGAAGGAGATGAAGAAGAAACCAAGCTCCTCGCAGCTTCCATTTCACAAAATCACCAACGAAACAGGCTCTGCTTTTGCTTCCGCTTCCGCGAATGGCTAAGGAAGACGAATAAGAACATGAGGCTACTCTACTGAGTCATGACGAACAGATAAGGCGAAAACACTCAAATTTTTTGTTTTATAAAAACAAAATCTTCGTGCTGCCATGGAAGTCAGATTTTGTTATCTTCTCCTTTTTTTTCTCCCTATACTTTAGAGGATCAGCTTGGGCCTATTATTGGGCCTAAGCCCAAAGAGTTAAATTAATTTTACGATTACGATAAAAATCGACTAATAGCTTCCACTTCCCGAGGGAAATGGTCAACGTGTCAGTAAGTAGGAGTGCAGGATCATTCGAATCATCGTCTTCTCCCTCTTTCTTCTGATACTTCTTCTTAAACCCTAGATTCTCTCTTTGTAGATCATAAAAAAGCTTCTTCATCACTGAAATAGTCAAACAAAAAGGAACGAAATCGATGAATACAGATATGGTGTTTCAAAATTTGAGCTCAACTGAGTCCAACGCTAACGCTGTAGCTCCTGAATCGCGTCCCCAATCGCAGATCGCTGTTTCGAAACCCTCCCCCGCGTCTAAGGACCGCCACACTAAGGTTAACGGAAGAGGCCGCCGCGTTCGTATGTCGGCTCTCGCCGCCGCTCGAATTTTCCAGCTGACGCGTGAGCTGGGTCACCGATCTGACGGAGAAACCATCGAGTGGCTTCTCAGCCAAGCCGAACCGTCGATTATTGCCGCCACAGGCTCCGGAACCAATCCTTCCGAGCAGGTTTCCTCGTCCGTTGGCGTTGCGGCGGCGGTTGATTCCTCGCCGCAGATGATGTTGGCAATGGTCGCGACGCAAACGCAAACGCAAACGCAATCGCAGCTGCAACCGCAACAACCGCCGAGCTGCTGGCTTGATTTATGTCAGCCTGTTGGAATTCAATATCCTGTAAACGGTTACAGTCACATGCCGTTCACGGCGATGCTACTACAGCCGATGACTACGGCGGCGGCGGAGTCTAACGTTGAGATCGCGGCTGGTGAGAGGAGTCAGGGAGAGGCGTTGGAGGATCGCAGAAGCCATCACCAGCAGTAAAGTTAAGCTTTTCGTTTTGAGTTTTTAATTAGGATTTTTAAGGTTTCAGAGATAACAGATGATGTATATGTACAAAAAGTTGGATAACTGAAAAACAGATGAGAGACTTTATAGTACTTTTGTTGCTACGTGTAAAATTTCGTCACATTATGCTTTTTATGTATTGATAATGAAACTGTAGAAAAGAATAAAGCCTCATAGTGTTATTTTTTTTGCTAATGATTAAAGTTAGAAGAAGAGTTTTGTTATTAACACTTAGAAAACAAAACAACAAAGTTGCAGAAGTTTTTCAAATTTCTCGTTTTAACATCAAAATCATTGTCGAAAATTCACAGAGAACGTTCTCGTGAAATCCAAACAATTTGTCATGCTCCTCCAATATAGCCACTCATTGCTATTTTTGGTAAACGAATTATAAATAACCATTCATATTTTCTCCTTAGCCATCATTTTTCATTTGCTAGAAATATGGATCTCCTTCAATGACTCTTACGATGCGTCGATGACCCTTTTCAACTATCTTTTTTTTTCTCACACAAGTCTCTTTCCAACTTTGATCTCATCGTTACCATTTCAAGTTTTCCTTTTTTTTTGTTCTGCAACAATTTCGTCAACTTTTTTCTGAAAAATGCTCCATCTCCAATTCTCAAGAAACAAAATGTTTTTTTCTCTAGTTTTATTGCCTTAAATTTTTACAAGACGGCTACTTTTTTTTGTTCACAAGTCATGATAGAGAAATATACAACATCTGTAGGAATGTTTCTATTGGTAGTTTCCAATGTATCCATTCTACTATTTGATCAGACAATTCAAACACTTTGGTTCGGACAGTTCTGATTTCTCTCCAAAACTTTTTGATTTAGAAGGATGAGAATAATTAGGATTGATGTTGCTTGGCTGCAACACATCTTGCTGTTCTTTGTTTGTGGCTTGTGTTTCATCTCGCTTGCATCATGCCTAGAAGGAGATGATTACAGCAAAACAGGAAATCCAAAAGTTCTTCTTCCCGTTACAAACCTTGTATATAACCGACTTCAAAATCTAAAGAATGTCTTAAAGGCTGACATTGATCGAGATTTAGGATATTGCATCAAAAATTTGTAAGTCTATTCTCAAATTCCGCTAATGCAGTTCCATGTTTGAGCATTTACATATTTTACATTTTTTCTAATTTTTTTGCCTCTGCTTTATTGATATATAATTCAGGAAGAACGATTGGGACGAAGCATTTGACTTTGATAAAAATCTAGACTTCTTAAGCAATTGTGTCAAGAAAAACGATGGTAATATAGAAAAAGAAAATCATTGAGTCAAAAACTTAAAACATTATTGAGATTTCATATTCTTGTTATGCAGGTGATGTAACACTAAGACTATGTTCAGCTGCTGAGATAAAGTTCTATTTCAACAGTTTCGTTAGAAGGGATGAAGCAACAACGGTTCATGTAAAACCTAATGTAAACTGCAATTTGGCTAAATGGGTTTCCGGATGCGAGCCTGGATGGAGTTGTAACGCAGATGATGATGAAAGATTTGATCTTAACAATGGAAAAGCTCTTCCATCTAGAACTCGTAAATGCCAACCTTGTTGTGAGGGTTTCTTTTGTCCACAAGGTCTCGCTTGCATGATACGTAAGAAATCCATATACATACATGTTATTACAACTTTTTTGATATTTAAGTACTAAAATTTGAATCTAACATCTTCATTGTTGTTTTACTCTCTTGACTTATGTAAACGAAGCGTGTCCATTAGGCGCATATTGCCCACTTGCCAAGCTTAATAAAACAACAGGAGTTTGCGAGCCGTAAGTTGTTAATTCTGTCTAGATTAATTTACTAATTACTACTATAATGAACAAAATTATATGAGTGGTTTGAGTAAAGAGTTTTTCCATTGCAGATACAATTACCAAATTCCTCCGGGAAAGTTGAATCATACGTGTGGTTCTGCAGATAGTTGGGTTGATGCTGAGAGTAGTGGTGATATGTTTTGTTCTCCAGGTTCATATTGCCCAACCACGATTCGAAAGGTCACTTGTAGTAGTGGGTACTGATTCTTTTATCTCACAACTTTGGTTTACTTTTCGATAAATTGTTCATATGTGAAAATATTCATCAAATTTTATTACACTACTAATTAATACTTCCTCCGATTTTTATATATGATGTTTTGAGGTTTTTACATACTCCATCTGTTTCAAAATAAGTGTCATTTTGACACTTTTCACACAAATTAAGAAAATTAACAAAAAGTTTTTTCTATCTCTAATAAATACACTAAATAACACTCTCTTTCTAATTAATACACTAAAGTAATAAGGTTAAAACTGGATATTTTGTTATAAATTTGCATTGAAAACCTAAAACGACACTCTTTGTGAAACAAAAATAAAACTCTAAAACGACACTCTTTATGAAACGGAGGGAGTATAAATTAATAAGAAATTATTTAATTTTGTATTTTTCCAAAACAAAACATGGTTTATCATCAGTTCCAAAATAATTGAACCAATAGAAAAACAATATACAAAATTCAAACACTTAAAACAATAAAAATACAATTAGTTTCTGCATAAATATGTGAGAATATCAACTATTTTTAACCAAAAAGTAATCTCTAAAACATCATATATAAAAAATGGAGAGAGTAATGTAATGTGAATAAAAAAATATAGTTTTATTTTCTATACATAGTTAATAAGCTGATCAAATATTTTTATGTATTATTCAGACACTACTGCAGACAAGGTTCTACTTCACAAAAACGTAAGTTTCTAAAACTAAAGAAAATGTTTAGTTTTAAATATGATTTTTTTCCCTATAATATACATATGAAGTGATAGTTATCTATCTTTTCTTGGTGACTGTTTTAGCATGCTTCAAGCTCGCAACTTGTAATCCAAATACTGCAAACCAAAATATTCATGCCTATGGAGCCATCTTAATTGTAAGTTAGTTGATAGTAAGAAACCTAATATTATACCTTTTGCTTTAATATTTTCTTTTTTTTTGGAAATTTATTAGAGTTTCTTTGTTGTATGTGTAGGCGGCACTAAGTCTTCTGATGATCATGGTCTATAACTGTTCCGATCAAGTTCTTGCCACTCGAGAAAAAAGACAAGCAAAATCAAGAGAAGCAGCAGCGAGGCACGCAAGAGAAACAACACAAGCTCGAGAAAGGTGGAAAAGTGCAAGAGGTGCAGCCAAGAACCAGAAGATGGGGTTGTCTGCACAGCTATCTCAAACTTTCTCTCGCATGAAATCTAAGAGGGATGCACCTGAGAAAGCATCTGGAAATTCAAAGGACAAGAAAAAAGAACCGAGTAATCTAACCAAGATGATGAAGTCCATGGAGGATAACTCGAGTAACGAAGGGTTTAATGTTGGGAGTGGAAGTAAGCATGGGAAGAAACCGCAAGCTCCAAAGGGTAAACAGCTACATACTCAAAGCCAGATCTTTAAGTACGCTTATGGTCAGATCGAGAAGGAGAAAGCCATGGAGCAAAACAACAAGAACTTGACATTCTCAGGAGTTATTTCGATGGCTACTGACTCTGAGATTAGGACTAGGCCTGTTATAGAGGTTGCGTTTAAGGACCTAACTCTTACATTGAAGGGTAAACATAAGCATATCTTGAGATCTGTTACCGGAAAGATCATGCCAGGCCGTGTTTCCGCCGTCATGGGTCCATCAGGAGCTGGGAAAACTACATTTCTTTCTGCCTTGGCAGGCAAGGCAACTGGATGTACGAGGACTGGTCTAATCCTCATTAATGGAAAAAACGAATCTATAAACTCATACAAGAAGATTACTGGTTTTGTGCCACAAGATGATGTTGTCCATGGAAATCTTACCGTCGAGGAGAACCTTCGATTCAGCGCAAGATGCAGATTAAGTGCTGATATGTCAAAAGCAGACAAAGTGTTGATCATTGAGAGAGTGATTGAAAGCTTAGGTCTACAACATGTAAGAGACTCGTTGGTTGGTACGATAGAAAAAAGAGGAATCTCTGGAGGGCAGAGGAAACGAGTGAACGTTGGTGTGGAAATGGTCATGGAACCTTCTCTACTGATATTGGATGAACCAACCACAGGTTTAGATAGTGCATCTTCGCAGTTACTTCTTAGAGCACTTCGACGTGAAGCACTTGAAGGAGTTAACATTTGTATGGTCGTGCATCAACCTAGGTACGTATACGTTATGTCCATTATGAATTATATTAATCTTTCCGTTTAATAATATTAGTTACATAAAAAGATTTTTTTTTGTTTAAACCTGTAACTATTTAGACCAGAAGTAATCAAAATTACTTTTTAGTCAAAACTAACAAATTTTGAATCTCAATGTGATTATAGTATAGTAAACAAGAGCATATAAGGATATTTAAATAATTTTTAGTCACCACAAAAGTGTCAAACCATACTTTTTGTGAATTTTGTTTTATATTGCAAGCTCAACAATGAGTTTTTTTTTTTGTCTTCTTTGATCAGTTATACGATGTACAAGATGTTCGATGACATGATAATACTAGCGAAAGGTGGTTTTACCGTGTACCATGGATCAGTCAAGAAAATCGAAGAATATTTTGCTGGAATCGGTATCACGGTTCCTGATCGTGTTAACCCTCCTGATCATTATATAGATATTCTCGAAGGCATCGTGAAACCAAACAGTGATATCACTATAGAACAACTTCCTGTGAGATGGATGCTGCACAATGGTTACCCTGTGCCCCACGATATGTTGAAGTTCTGTGATGGACTCCCATCATCATCTGGATCAGCTCAAGATGATTCCTCTCATAATTCTTTTAGTAATGATCTTTGGCAAGATGTGAAGACTAATGTGGAGATCCAGAAAGATCAGTTACAACACAATTACTCCGATTCTCAAGACAATTCTAATCGAGTAACTCCTAGTTTAGGTCGACAATATAGATATTTTGTTGGAAGGTATGGTCTTTGATAGAATTAAAATCCACAACAACTTATATAATTTTCATGTGTACATTAAAATTCTGTTTATATATGTTTTTTCAGGGTTGGGAAACAACGACTTAGAGAAGCAAGACTACAAGCGCTAGATTTTCTAATATTATTAGTCGCAGGAGCTTGTTTAGGAACTCTTGCAAAGGTCAACGACGAGACCATTGGTTCACTTGGCTACACCTACACAATTATAGCTGTCTGTAAGTTTATAATATACACAAAATATTGATTTATATATATCAATGAGAAATTGTAAGTTTGTGACCATTAACTAAAATTTATTTTTCTATTTGTTGTAGCTCTTTTGTGTAAGATTTCAGCATTGAGATCGTTCTCTGTAGATAAACTACAATATTGGAGAGAAAGTGCCGCTGGAATAAGCAGTTTGGCACATTTTTTGGCAAAAGACACACTGGACCATTTGAACACAATTATGAAACCTTTGGTGTACTTGTCCATGTTCTATTTCTTCAACAACCCGAGATCTAGTTTTGAAGACAACTACATTGTACTAGTATGCTTGGTCTACTGCGTAACGGGCATGGCTTACATATTTGCCATCTTGTACAGTCCTAGTGCTGCCCAATTGGTTTGTCCTCACTTTCTCATTACTCATAAAAGCTTCACAAGATTCTATGACTAACCATATGGTACATTTTGTGGTAATTCGTTTTTTTGCAGATGTCGGTGTTAGTACCTGTTGTTTTGACTCTCATCGCGAATCAAGATAAAGATAGCATTGTTCTTAAGTATCTTGGAACCTTTTGCTACCCCAAATGGACTCTTGAAGCTTTTGTCCTTTCCAATGCTCAAAGGTATACAAAGTTTTAGATTTTTCTTCATCATATATGATATAGTATCATTCAGAATTCATAAAATTTGATTTTGGGTATTTTAATTTGTTGGTTCAGGTACTCTGGAGTGTGGGTGGTGACTAGATGTAGCTCATTGTCTCAAAACGGATATGATCTTAGTGATTGGGTCTTATGTCTCATTGTTCTCGTTCTCATGGGTATCATATGCCGACTTATAGCTTATTTCTGCATGGTTACCTTCAAGAAGAAATAATCTTATTATCCGTGATTAAAAAGCGTACATACTGTATAAAATCTTGTAACAGAGTTCTATTTTTGAAAGGAAAAAATATATTTTTGATACCTTATATTAAATGAGTTAAATATGTAGTTTATAGAACTAGAAATTTTTTTTAGATTTCCAATTTTGTTCTTTTACACATATAATTTGCCTCCATTTTGTAAAAACTTTTTGTAGATAATGTGATTACGAAGAGATCGGATTGGTATGTTCTTGGTTGTAAAACCTTTTACGACGTAAAAACTCAACGTAAACCGATAATCTACTTTTTCCGATGATCAATTCGGTTTGGTTTACTCGATCCGGTTTATTTTTCATTTCGGTTCATAAGATGGTGGCGGAAAGGAGAAATAGAAGCGGCGCAAGTTAACAACGATGATGAATTCGGCGTTTCGAAACGTTCACATCACTGCGTCTCGTTTGATAAACCCTAACCCCATTGCCTCTTCAATTCTCCATTTTCTTCCTCTCTATTCCGGCGAAGCTGCTCCTCGGCGTTCAACTCCTCTCCACCGTCGAAACGCAGTAATTCCTTCGTTTTCCGCCCTTTTTTGCTCGTCTTCCTCTTCTTCTGTCTACATTCCTATGGCGGGAGGAGGTGATCAGGTTCTTCCACCATCGTCTCACTCGCTTGAGAAGCAGTTCGAGAGTTTCCGCGTTCAGCTGGAAGAATCCGCAGCTTTGCGTGAGCAGATCCGTGCTGTGGTTATGGAGATTGAGTCGGCCACGAGACTCATTCAAGCTAACCTCCTTCTCGTTCATCAATCGCGACCTATTCCCGGTATGTTTACTCTTAGCATCTATGGTCGTCGCATTCCTGTTTTGGTACTTATCTATGAGCTAAGAGTCACTGTCACTGGGCTTGTCTTCAGACGCGAGTTCGAATTCCAAATGATTCACTAGTTTCTCATTGACGGTTGAGTGAATGAGTCCTTAGTTGGAAACAAAGTAGGTTGAAAATTGCATCTTTTGCAAAATTTTCTTGTGAGAAGAATGGTAGAAACGGCTTTCCCTTAAGATTCAGAATTTGGTGATGAAGTTTTCTTTGAAGAGAAGCAAATGAAAATGAAGAACTTGCACTTGCGTACTTGTTGTTCCTTAAGGAAAGAATGAATATTGAATCACACATGACCTTTGCGATTTAAGAAATTCCTTGGAACTGTGTGGTTGTTTACTAATAAGATTTGCTCATTCTGTTGATGTATCAGAGGTTATCGAGAAAGCCAAGGAAAAAATCACTGACTTGAAGCAGTTTTACGCCAGGCTCGCTGAAATCCTTCAGAAGTGTCCTGGACAGTACTATAGGTGAATTTGATAGCTACTAGATTCATTGTCTTGCAATGCATTTTCTGCAATGGTTTAGTGATAGAAGTTTTTATTTTGTAATATTAGGTACCATGGGGACTGGAGAAGTGAAACACAGGCAGTGGTCTCACAGCTTGCGTTTATGCACTGGCTAGAAACTGGAACTCTTCTTGTGCATACGGAAGCTGAAGAAAAACTTGGGTGTATGTCTCTGGATCTCATATTCTCAGTTTTCTCTTTTTCTTGCCTCCAAATAATTATCAGGGCCTGGTTCTTGCTATTTCTCTCACAAACTTTGAACAAAGTGTAGAAACTAGTGTTGAATTAGAGCACCACGAACGCTCCAACCTGAACCAGTTACTGGACAGGATATATCTGGACCAACTATTAGAGCATTTTATCCATTTTAGTGTCAACCCTTTTTGCCAAGATTTGATCTTTCACAATTACTAGGTTATGCTTCGATGTCGAGGTTGGTTTTCATTACGTTGGTATAAAATAGGCAAATTCCTAAGTGCTGGTGTTCTGCAAAGTTGATTCAAAATCTTCTCAAATTATGTTTCTCTTGATGAAATTAACTTGGCCGAATCATCTGTCATTTTTGTTCTCTTCTAATTCCACTTCATTATATTTCAGTGAACAGTTTGGAGTTTGGATTGGAGACGGAAGATTATCTGACTGGTATGTTTCTGAGAAAGAACTTCTAATTGTTTATGAATCCAAGCATTACTTATATATTCTAATCTTTTAGCTTTTCAATACTTTGCAGGGATTTGTTTCATGTCAAACGATTTGGTAGGATCATCTTTATCCCTAAATCTTATTTCCATCTTTCCCCTTTAGCATCTTCTAAAGAAAATCGAAATCTTTTGCAAATGGGTATAACTATAAATCTTTTTTTTCCGGGTGATGCAATGTTGGAGCAGCCTAGGTACGTGGTCAATCGAGTGACAGCAGGAGACTATGACTGCCCGAGAAAGGTGATGAATTTCTTGACGGATCTTCATGCAGCCTTCCGCATGCTCAACCTCAGGAACGATTTTCTGCGCAAGAAATTCGATAGTAAGTCAAAACACTTTCTCGATTTGCATATATTGTTTAGCTAATAATGTGAGATGGTGAACATCATCATTTTCGTTTTGACATGTGACAGGTATGAAGTATGACCTAAGAAGAGTCGAAGAAGTTTACTATGATGTTAAGATCCGAGGTTTGATTTCTGGTGGAGATCCTCCTGCAGTCCAAGGCCAATCCTAAGTCTTTCACTCTCTCTCTGCTGCGGACTCTTTATGACTTTTGTTTAGCTCAGTTTTAAAACGGCAAGTAGTGTTGTTTCTGTAAACCAAAGACCTTTTAAGTTTTAGAATGGAATTTATGAAAACGGCAAGTAATCCTTTTGCGGGCCTTGAAGCCCATGTTTTGATTCGTTTAGACGGCGTTAAAGTCAGCGTCAAATGAGTCATTAACGGCGTTAAAGGAATCACAACTTTTCCGTTTTCCGTCGCACAGTGGGTAATATAACAGTACACGTTCATGAACACCATCTGTCGTCGCTGCGGACTTGAAACGCACGTTATATTACACGGTGGCTTACGTCATCCAGATTTCAAACTCAATAAATTAAGCTTTTTGGAATCCGGCAACCAAAAAAAAAAAAAAAAAAAAAGTAAAATCATCCCAGTCCACAGTCGCCGTTCATCATCTCCGTCAGTGTTCTTCCTCTCTTCTTCTCCTCCTCTTTTTAGCAGCTTTTTTTTTTCTCTCCTCAGCTTCGGATATTATTCATCTTACTATTTATTAATCTGACCATTTGTCTTAGATTCTCTCTTGAACGGTCTCTCTTATCCATAACTAGTAAGTTTTTATAAAAATGTTTTAAAGTCTTAGATTCTACTTTGAGGTAGATCGCAATGTGTGTGTATGATCGGATTAGGCTTAAGTTTAAAGGAGGATAAAGCTAAGCAGCGAGATTTCTTCTTCCTTTTTTTTCTCAGGATTTTCATTTTTTTTTCTTCTAATTTGTGGGCTTACTATGGTGTACCAGCTGTGACTCTGTGGCCCACCTTATACGTAATTTCTTTCTGTGTTTATATATTTTTGTTCTTTCTGTATTGCATTGCATTTGACTGTAGCTGAAAATTTTTGATTCTTCTTTTTGTGTTTATCGTAAAAGATCACCCGACAGATATCTGTCTGGGTCTGATAGTTCTTTGTACTGTAATCGCCGAGAATGTCGAAGGTAGATACTTAAGTTAACAGTTTGTTAAGTAAGAATCTTATTATAATTTGTAGAGGCAAAAGTAATGTTTTTAAATATGAGAGAACGTGTTTCTTGTTCTGAGTTAGTGTATGGATTGGGGGAAAATTGGTTAATAGAAATTCTGAAAGAGAAGTGAGATTCAATTCTATGAATCTAGCTTGTGATTTTATCATGGCATGTTATGGCCTTATGGGCAACATTGTCGGATTCTATTCAATTATTGTGACATACTTTGTTACTTCTAGTGTAGAAACACGGACTGGACTTGAATGAGGACTTTTGAGATGGACCGGAGAATCGATTTTCCTGAAACTTTTGCTGGATTCAAGTGTGAGAGTGTGAGAACCTGTTCTTTCTTCTTCACTTGTGACTTAAAATCTATCATTTTTGTTTTTACATATATCTTTTTTCTTGATAGGTTGATGAGAATGTTTGCCATTCAGTTGAGGATACAATGAGTGACATGAATCGTTTCCTAATGGAACCTAAGTATGAGAATTTCGCCGTGGACAGTTTCTTAGGACTTGGTATGGAGAATATGGGGATAAGCTCCAAGATTGAGGAGTTTTCTCATGGTTTTGACTTTAGCTTTCTCCCTGATTATGGTGAGTCACTTAAGAAAGCTCTCCTTTGCTGAATGATTTGTAACATTGGGGTGGTTAAAAAAAAAAAATTTCATTTTTGTCTAAAGGTGGTCTGGACTCTTGTAGCACTCAAGATGGGGAAACAGGTTTAAAGCTCGAAGTATGTGTTTTCTTTATGCCCTCTCTTCATATTACACGGTTTCTTTCTTGGTCTTTCATGAGATGAAAGTTCTTATGGTAACACTCATCTTGTAGATTCTTGATGGGTTTCTGGATGAAGTTGATGAAGTGGAAGATATCTACGCATCACATGATCTTTCTTCTACTAATAACCATTTCCGTCCAGGTATATTTGTGTGACTCTATCATCATAGTGCATCCGAGCAATATGTGTGGTTTTACAATCCATTCGATATAACTTACTTGCAGATACAGAAGTCAAGAAGAAAGGATCTGAATCAGATGGTGAACCTGAACCATGTGGTCTTATGAACTTCAGTGCAGAATCTTACTCTCCTGGAATAAGTGGAAGCATCGGACTCTCTGAGTGGTCAAATGAAACTCTTCCACATGCTGAATCCAAGAATGTATCAAGTGGAAAAGTTGAAGATAGTTTGGCTACGAGTTCAAAGGATAAGCACTGTTTCTATGAGTCAGAAGATGACAAGAAGCCACTCTCCACTTTTATAGGCTCTTGGGTTGGACGAGGCAAGAGACGGAAAACGAATTTACGTAATTGTAGTAGGTAATACTGGAGACAATCTAGTGTTATTCCGATAATATAATCCCACATGCATCAGATTTACTAGTGAAGCTGTGATTTTTGATGTTGCAGATTAGATTCTTTTGGTGGAACGTCGTCTTGTGCGTCCTATGACTTCAGGCCTCGGAAAGGACCTCTGAAGAAATGCATTCAAACTACAACGGTATGAATTAAAACTCTCTAAGACTATTGATTTTTTTATATCAATGGAAACCAAATACCATCTGATATTGCAGGAGATCAATGCATCTGATTATGATCAGCTAGATGCATCTGAAAGCGAAGATGACTTTTGTGTAACGAACACATCAAAAAGCAGAAGTGACAGGAGAAAGCATCAGAGGATGTGGACTGTTGAGGAAGTGGTGAATTTGGTTGATGGTGTTTCTCACTTTGGTGTTGGCAAATGGACCGATATAAAGAAGCTCTTCTTCCGTTCCGCGTCGCACCGCACACCCATTGATATCAGAGTTATTCTTCACCATTCACCTCAAAATCAAATACTCTTCATTTAGTAGTGTTTTTAAGTGTCTCAATTCTTCTGCTCAAAAACCTATGCAGGACAAATGGCGTAATCTACTGAAAGCAAGCAAGCATAATGATGAAAAGGTTTGCCCTTTTCTCTTCTTTTTGTCAACAAAAATTCATATTTTGAGAAAATACTCTGTAACACAGTTTTGAGAATATTCAGGCTGGAGGAAAACGAAGGCCAGCGTCTCGCCTTATCCCTAAGGACATACTACATCGTGTAGGAGAACTTGCTTCGCTCCACTCCAAATCATTGGGTTTCGTTTATGATTACTCAAGAAGCCGATGCTCTTCAAAGAATTAGAAGAAAAAGATTTGAGATATATATTTTTTTTAACTATCTTGGATATCAATTTTAGGTGAATCATCTACGTTATTGTAATTTGAAACCGACTTTAACCGATCTGAAGCATATGCAAATGCAACATGGACATAAACCAAGTTCCATGGGATCAAAGAGAAGATGCCATTTCGTGTAGTTTCATGTTTAGCTATCATAACAGCACAAGAAATTATCAATTCAGGCCTCAAACGGCTACTTTACCATCAGAATCAAACATCCTTTAAATGAAAAACTATAATTGCAACATTGACTAATCTCTTTTGGGAACTATAATTGCAACACTGACTAATCTCTTGTGGGAACCTACAACATCGTTTCTACCTTTTTCAATTGGCTTTCTTTGCCTTTGCTGCAACAGACTTCTTCTGATAAAAGAGAATCTGACTGAGGATGGTTCCGTTGGTGAAGACTCCAAGAGCAAAACCAGTGAGAACTATAGAAAGGTTGAGGAACAACAACATAAAGCTTTCTATATATGTACCAAATAAAACCATATTCTGTATGATTTGAAATGTCTTTGCATGATTATAACAAGCAAATATTAAGGATACTGCTAAGCGGGGCGTTTTCCTGGATGCTTGTGAAAACTCTCACTGCGAGGGAAACAAACAAATATTATTCGAGACCAGACAATTAATACATACACAATTGGAAAATGCAAGAAACATCCAAGAAGGGAGCCCTCTTACCGATGGATCCGGCGAAGTTCATGAAGAAAGTTAAGAAACTAAGTTCTCCAGTGCTTTTGTTCTGTATAGATAGAGAAAAAAAAAAGTAATGTGAGCCACAAGCGACAGGTTTCGTACAATTTTTTTTGCATAGTTACATACTTAAGCTATGAAAAACAATACAAAAAAAAAAAAACACAATCTCTCCAGTATATAGATGTACCATAAACTTAAGCTATACTATTAAAGTTAACTACAAACTGATCAAAGGAACATAGTATCGCAACTAAGGCTCTAAACACCTTTTACCCTAGTCGGTTCATCAATCACAACATGAAACAAATGAAGTACAGACTCACTTTGAAGTTCTTCCATATCTGAGGGAGCCTTGCAAAGAGAAATATCGCATGCTGTGAAGCCTAACAAATAGAATATATACTATCAAAATGTATCCACATACACACACACAGAGAGCTTCAAGTGAATGAAACAAGGAGAGTTTTTCGTTTTTCCTCACATAAAGAGCGTCGAAAAGCGTAGGATTAATCTGCCCACCAAGCACAGTTGGTGCTACAGCACAATATCTAATAAGGAATCTAACATTAAGGAAAGCAAAAATACCACAAAGAGTCTTTAAAATCAAAAGCTAAGAAAACTCTCAAAACTCAAAAAGGATACAAGAGTGCTCTGGCCCAAGTGGTCATAGGGACTGGCTGAGAGAAATAATAGATACAAGCAACCAAAATTAAGGCTGCAACATTGGAAAAATGAGATTGTAAGAGCATGTAATTGACAAAGAGCATAAGCATCCTGAGTTTAAGATTTCTGGAGCAAACCTTGGATTAAAAGAAACGCCATTTCACCAAAAGCCGAAAAGGGAAGACCTTTGTGAAGACAATACGCAAGAGATATAGTGTAACCAACCACCTCGAGCTCAAATGCTACAACACTTAGGCCTCGTACACTCTTATGTTGCACGATTTTCATAATCTATCGATAAACACAACAAAGATTAGAGGAGGAGTAGTTGAAATTGAGAGAATTTTGTGTGAAAAAAATTGGTGATTGATTTTGATACCTGAGGGAGCTTGACGGTGATGGAAGCAGCGACGAGGCAGTAACCGAGAAGCTTGGAAATTAGAGGAAGAAGACAATCTTTCTCCGGGAATTCACCATCTCGGAGAGATCCGATCGCGCAGCTCAAATCAATCCCAAGATAATCCATTTTTTTTTTTCTCCTTGGAGAATTTGATCGTGATCTCCGATCCAAATCTTCTTCACTCTATTTGGGATTCTCGCGACTCTTATGACTTTGTTTAGCTCAGTTTGAAAACAGCAAGGAGTGCTTTTTCTTTAAACCAAAACGGCAAGGAACAGAGGCCCTTTTAAAAGTTTAGTATGCAATTTCTGGAAACGGCAAGTATTCCTTTTGCGGGCCTTGAAGCCCATCTTTTATTCGTTTAGACGGGGTTAAAGTCGGCGTCAAATGAGTCATTACGGCGTTAAATGAATCGCAACTTTTTTGAACACCATCTGTCGTCGTTGCGGACTTGAAACGCACGTTATGTAACATTCGACATCGTGTAAGAGAACTTGCTTCGGTCCAGTCCAAATCATTGTGTTTCGCTTATGATTACTCAAGAAGCGGATGTTCTCTAAACAAGAAGAAGAAGAAGATTTGATATTTGATAATCTTCATGGAGAAAGTCTAAAGTAAATTAACATCGTTTTTAACTATCTTGGATATCAATTTTAGTTGCATCATCTAAGTTATTGTTATAAGAAACCGATCATGACTATAATTCAGAATTTTTGTTTGTTCATTTCCTTTGTCTTCTTCATCTTCCAGTGCGAATAAATCTAACAAACAGCAGCAACACAAACCAAAATAGACTTTTCTTTTGTCTGAACATAAATGGTTTCTTGAAGTATCAACGTGTCTACTATTCTTGTTGAAGAATATTTTGAAATCAGAAACAAGAAAACATTTTGGCTTAAATGGGAAATTTCCCCATCATTTGTAATTGTATAGTAAGTTTACACAAATATTTTCTTAGTTATAACTAGGAGTGTTCAATCTGGATTCTGGTTCAGTTTCGGATCATGTTGTGTGGGAGAAATAATTTATGTAATTATTATCAAACTATACTATACCTATGTTTAATTGATGTAATTGAGTACAAGTGTCGAACATAATTTAACAAAAGTTTTTGTTGTCCCCTCCCTACAAAAAGAATATCATTGTTAATTTTTTTATTTTATTGACAAAAAGAATACTGTATCAATAATTGAATGAAGAAGCATCCTTAACGCAAGTATTTGTATACAGTAGTTTTAGAAACCTAAATACAGACAGAACATTTTCATAATGATAATGGGTCCATATTTAGCTAATGACCCCGAAGGCTGGAACCGTCAGATTCAAGTTCATGTTTAGAATTTAAAAGTTGTGAACTTTTCTTTTTTATTGAAGAAAAAAAAACATGAAAGTGGACTTTTTTTAGAATGATCCCTTTCAATTTGAGTTTTAATTCTATCGTTTAATTTAAATAAAACATTTTAATTAATAATAAACACATTTATTCATAGATGCTGGTTACTCATGGGAATTTAGTTGAGTTATATAAGATAGATATTATAGTTAAATTGCTGTAGAGGTAACAGTTTTGTGTATGTTGTTATGAAAGAAAAACATTTAGTTCGGATATATAAAATTTAAGATGAAACTATTTTTTTGGTAGGTTTTTGTTATTTTGTCACCTTCAATAATCAGATACATTTGGTTGATATTTTGGTTCTGTATTTTTACCTGTTTCGAAAATGTTGCCAGTTCAACAGTAGAAGTGTGATGCAAAATCAAAACCTTAAATGAAAATGGAAGATAAGTAACATTAAGTTTTTCAAAAGCAGTAATTTGCATTTAACAGATGAACAAGCTTACTGTGAGTTAAAATCATTAGAAATAAAAATGAAAGCTTTGAAAAAGCCCTCTTATGTAACACTGAATATAACACTAACAAACACTCTCAATTCCTTCTTCTGCCCTATTCTATGGCCACGATCGTCTGCCTGCTGGTCCATTTGTGCATTTCAGTCACTGTCGAATATAAAAACAGTGTCTGCAGTTTTGCATTTTCAAACCAAAGACTACCGGCACTGCACGTGTACTCAGAACAACCATGAAGAGTTGTGTGACTTGTGATGTTCAATGAAAGAAATGTTTCCGGTTATTTCGGATTACAAACTTTGGTTCGGTTCAGTTCCGTTGAGGTTTTGGCCCAATCCAAATCAAATCAAATGTATATAATTTTTTTTGGTATGGAAATCAAATGTATATACATAAATAGTAAAACAAAACTAATCATAAATTTATAATAATTTTAGCATGCATTGAAATAGAAACCAAAACATTTTAATAAATATAGTTCTGAACAACATTGTCAAATGGAAGTAAAAAAAATTGTCAAATGAAATTCAGGTAATAGTACACAACAAAAATAGAGTTGTGACTTGTGATGTTTAATAAAAAAAACATTGTCAAATGAAATGAAGACAAACAGAAATATAGTATTTTTCTTAACAAAAACAAAATTTACTTTTGAAAAGTAAATAAAAAATATTAACTTAACTTCTGAAGGTATTACTAACCCATAATTTCATCAATGCTTTACTCTTATCTAAAAACTGATGATAAATTTAAAGATTATAAGTATAGTAATTTTTTTGACAAAAGCAAAATGTTGCAAAATATTAACTTAACTTCTGAAGGCAATAGGCTTATAGGCATGACAATTTTCCTGGTTTTGAGTGAAAAGTATTACTAACCCATAATTTCATCAATTTTGTATTCTTATTATTAAAATGATAAATTTTAAGATTAGAAGTATAGAAGACATGTCTTCTAAGTATGTTCTGTAGCCATATAAAAAGTATGATAATTTTCGCTCTTTCCATGAAAAAGGGAGAAGAGAGAGAGACAGAAGTATAGATAACATCAAAAGAGTTGCACATGCACGCAATAAATTAAAGGCAGAAGAATCCAGCTTAGTTTCAGAATGGCCAGTCGTTGTTACTCAATTTTGACAGATTCAAACCAACTTCTTCGAAACACACACACAACACAAACATTACAGATAGATAGATCTGAGAGAGACATTTTTTAGAAATGAGAAATGGTGTAACGATGAGGTTCTCTTACTCATTAGAAGGAAACACATTTGTGAGCTCTTAGGGGGATGAACCCTAATCAATGTTACTCTCTTTCTCTCTTATAATGGACCCTCCAACATTGAC